CTACTCAGAGAGCCGCAAAGAACTACTGGGACTCTAGAATGAGGCAAATGTAGTTCCAATAGTTAAGAAAGGGGACAGACATGAAACACCAAATGCTTAAACCAGTGTTAACATATATTCCATACAAAATGCTAGAAAAAGTAATCAGAAAAAGGATTGTAACACATTTGGGAGAGTAAATGTTACAACAGGCACAACATTGCTTCAGAGGGAAAATAAAGTTTAACAAACTTCATTCAATTCTATGACAGGGTCACCAAAATAAGACAAGAGAAGGAAAGATGGGTAGACTACATCTTTTACTAGACAGCCAGAAAGCTTTTGATATACAGTAGTCCCTCACAGAAGAATAATACACAAGATGGAGAGAGAAGCAAGGATAACAGGAAAGGCACTGGACTAGGTACAGGAATATCTGATGGACAGGAAACAAAGGGTCATAGTCAAAGAGCATGTGTCAGGTTGGAGAGAAGTGAAAAGTGGTGTTCCACTGAGCTCTGTCCGAACATTGCTCTTTCAAAATTATATAAATGCCCTTTCAGAGGGGGGTGAGGTTGTATACAGTATATCAACAATTGCAGATGATGCAAAGTTATTTTTCAAGAGGGGGTAAATAAATGGCTGCCGGAATTCAATCCAAGTAAGTGTCAAGTAATGAAAATGTGCAATGGAGATAGATCTTTATTTAACTACACCATAAGGTGAAAGCAGTTATGAGAAACTCCATCCAACAAATGTACTGAAATACAAGTCTTGGAAGCCACATTCATCCACGATTCAAGAGCAAATGCCACATAAAAATTGAAAGTTAAGAGATTTGGAAACCACACCAGATAGAAAAGGCTATTTGGCAGGGCATAAGGAGCTGATAATTACTGATAAGTAAGCATTGGGAGTACTTAATGAGACATGTAAAAAATGCACATTTGCATGTACTGTATCTCAATTTTTAATATAGTTTAGGTGCATGTACAAATACATTAAATCTAGTTTTGCATGATTTAGGAGCATACATTAAAATATTACATATCCATTAATGAATATACCTGGTAAATAAATTGGAATGCAAGTGTTTCAAGTACGGCATTATGATACATATGTAATAAATAAGCTTTTTAAACTTGAGGTATTCTTGACTTAAATTTCCATGTACAGAGGAACCTTGGTACTCGAAAGACTCCCAACTCGAACAATTTGCTCGTGCTCGGTAATCGACCATTTGCTCGACACTTAAATGTAAACATGCATAACAGATGAGTCGGTTTCCCTAGTAGATGGCGTTCAGTGCACAACCCCACTAGACTTCTCTGTAGACTTTCTTATGTTTTCTTGGATATTTCTGTGGAGAGCCCTGCTGGCTTCCTGAAGCTATCATCACTGATTAAGTGCCATACTACCAAGTGTCATCAGTTGCGCAGTGTTTTTTGCTACCAGGACCACAAGCCAAAACCTGGCCCCCTCAGAGAGGTGCAGAGAATGATGGTCTATGATCACCTTACATTTAAAAGATATCATCTTTGCCATCACCAGTAAAGGCACTCCGAAAAATAGGCGAATCAAAACAAACCACTGCCTGGTTTAAAAATGCAACCAACGATCCCAAAAGAACTTCCCCCCAATAATAAAAGAAATAATAAAACTTGGTGAAAACTAGCCAAACACTAGTTAATTTCCCCCCTGTCCCCTCGCTGAGGGGGAAGTCAACCGGGCCTGACTGGCTTCGGTTCTTTTCAGACGTGCTTACTGAGAGGTCGTGTTGCTCTGGCTCCGGTTTCTCTTTTTTTTTTTAAAGTTCCCTTGAATTTCAGTAGTCTTTACACGGTAGTGTTTGTGAGCCAGAAATTTGTGTATCCAAGCTGCATGTGCTCGGGTTTCTTCCCTGGGCCATTCGGGGAATGCTTCCTTTAGAGAGGCTTCCTCCCTTGGGGTAGTCCTCTTCCTTAAGTAAGCCAGGGGTCTTGAGCTTTGTCTAGCCTAGGGTTTGGGGGGACATTTTTTGGCTAGTGGGGCACACTGTGGTTGCTCAGCCTGCACTTTCCACAGGTGTTTAAGGGTGTGCTGAGGTTTCTCCAAGGCTGCTCGTTCACAGCAGTCTAGTCTTGGGGCTTTTCTTTTTGTATTACTTTGTACACCAGCTTCCTCTTCGGCTTCTTCTTAGGAGGGAAGAGGTACCATCCTACCTCACTCGATGTGTTCATGGACGACTTGACTGTAAGCTGGGGCTTTGTGACCAGTGCTCACCAGTCCGACCACGGGCCAGACTGGTGAATTGTTGGGGTTTTCTTCATCGAGCTCCCAGCACAGTGTGGGAGTATGAGGCGGTGTGTCAGGCACTGTGAAGAGTTCGGATTACTCAGGGCTTGGTGATCCAGCTCCATTCGGAATGTTTCCCCATGGTTCATTGTCTCAACTGGGGGGTTTCTACGGTCCATGGCTTTGTGGGGCTGGTTGCTCCAGGTAGTTCTTCTGCTACCTGAAGTAGCAAACTTTGTAAATGTAAACTGTTCCGTAGAAGTAGATGCAAACTCCGAGTTCTCGGGCTTTACATTTCCACACTGTTAATGTTCAGGGAGTGTCTAATATTTTGGCCGACGGTCTGTATCACTTCCTTCCCATTTCTATGGAATGGACCGTCGGTGGCAATTCCTTCCTCTGGCTTTGCCAGACGTTGACCTTCTCGACTGTGATGTTTTGGCATCTGCCTCTTTATGCGGTTTCATTCCCCCCAACTAGCCTTAGTTCCAGGCACTGCTTGCTGGCCAAACTGCCCAACCTGGGCATTTTTCCATGGCTCTGCTTCTATCAGAGCATCAGCTGGGTGATATATCTTCCTGGTTCAACCTTCTCATCTGCTTTTCACATCTGGACTTTTTTTATGCATTTTTATCACCATTTGTATGGTGTTCAGGTGGCAGGTTTGATGGTGTCTCACCTGCGGTCTTCTTCTCAGTGACAGTGAGAGGTTTCTTTGTGGTTTTTTCATCATTCTACCACATTTCTGTCTGGGTCTTTTGTCATTGTTGAGGGGTTATATATTACTATTATTATTATTATTATTTGCCCTCCAATTGCCATGGTGCCTGTTTTGAAGCCACTGAACCCTTCACAGTACAAGATTTCCATCTCGTTAAAACTCCAGTTCTTTTCTCATCAGCAGAGCCTCTGCCTCTCTCTCTGCCCATTCTCTTCTCTACCTCTGCCTTCCCACTCCTCCTTTACCACATAGTAATCATTGGGTGTGTGTGTGTACTTACATAACTGTAGTTACAGGATGAGAGTTATGCTTGTTTGTCAGTTTGGTTGATTCCTGTTAGTATTTTGTAAGTGATGATCATATTGCCTCTTTTTTTTTCTTCTATCGTCTAGTTTTGGCATGTTTAACGCCTCTAGTCTCTCGTAACTCTTGTTTTTCAGTTCCAGAAGCCATTTTGTAGCATACCGTTGCACCTTTTCCAGTTTATTTATGTGCTTCTTAAGATTTGGGCACCATAAAACTGTTGCATATTTCAATTTTGGTCTCGCAAAAGTCATGAACAGTTTCTTTAGTATTTCAAAATGCATATAATTAAAAGCAGGTCTGAAGTTGGAAAGCGGCACAAATGCTCCTCTCACAATGTACTTTGTGTTCTTCTGGTGACACCCTACTATCTAAAACCACCCCTAGGTCTTGTTCATTATGAGTGAACAAATCCACAAGGGCCGTGATGAGGGTCTGCCTTATCACCCCCGTGATAAGGCAGCGTCTGGGATCATCCCAGGCGTAAGTTCGAACCCTCATCACAGCCCTTGTGGACTTGTTCATTTGATGCATCACACTATTGTGATTTCTTTGTGTATTCATTATTAGTGTTTTGTAATTCCTTTCCACATAATTTGTAAGGTGTGTATGGTCTATTTTCTCTCAAATTTTTCATCCGTGTCAGATGTCTCCCTGTCACCCCTCCGGAATGTTTTAGTTTCCAGAACAGCCTCTTGTGTGGGACAATATCAAAAGCCTTGTTTAAGTCCAAATACAGTCAACCCCAACCCACCTCTTTCCTGTAGTATCTATGTGGCTCTATCATAAAAGCTAAGTAGATTTGTTACACAGGATCTTCCTGTTTGAAAACCATACTTTCTGTCTGTTAGCATGTCATTACTCTCCAGGTGTTGAACCCATTTAACTAACTATTTTTTTCTTGTGTTTTGACTACCATGCTTGTTAATGATACATACCTATAATTTAGAGGGTTTTTTTGACTACTATTTTAATAGATTGGGACTATGTTTGCCCTTTTTCATATATCTGTTAAGATTCCTATGCACAAAGATGTCCGAAATATTGATTGGAGTGGAATGCTCAGCTAAGTTGTACATTCTCGCAGCATCCAAGGTGAAACTCCATCAGGTCCATCCGCTTTATTTTTTCCTAGCCCACCGAGTAATTTTTCCACTTCATTTTGAGATACCTCTATGTATTCTATGGCGTGTTCTAGAATTGGTATTGGGTCCGGCAGTGTGTGTGTATATTCACCTAGTTGTGTATGCGGGGGTTGAGCTTTGCTCTTTCGGCCCGCCTGTCAACTGTCAATCAACTGTTTACTAACTACTATTTTTTTTCTATCTCTCTCCCCCCCCCCCCCACACACACACACACCCCAACCAGGAAGCAGCCCGTGACAGCTGACTAACTCCTAGGTACCTATTTACTGCTAGGTAACGGGCATTCAGGGTGAAAGAAACTTTGCCCATTTGTTTCTGCCTCTTGCGGGAATTGAACCCGCACCACAGAATTACGAGTTCTGCGAGCTATCCACCAGGCTACCAGGCCCCTGTGTGTGTGTACTCACCTAGTTGTGTTTGCGGGGGTTGAGCTCTGGCTCTTTGGTCCCGCCTCTCAACCGTCAATCAACAGGTGTACAGATTCCTGAGATGTGTGTGTGTGCGCGCACGCGCAATTAAAAAAAAAATAATAAAATTAATTGTAAACATTTGCAGTTAATCTCTCTATTGTTTTGCAGCAAAATGGCAGAAACCAAAGGAAGTGAGAAGGGCAGTTGGGCAGCAGCTGCCGCAGGTCTCCCGTTTACCCTTGGCTTTAAAGTGCCCGCAGAGAAGCATACCCAAGATAAAACTCAGGACAAGAACAGGGAGAAAGATGATAAAAGACCCACTAAAGATGATAAGTGAAAAGAAACATCATGATGTTGGTCTTAAAACAGCAGGAGATGCAGAGGGCTTCAGATCAAAATAGTTTAATATAAATTTTGTAGACAAAATGCAGTATTAATTGATAACAATTTCCATAAAGAATAAACAAAATGAAGAGCAAAAACAGCTGAAAAGATTTACTTAAATGCAAATATTGCCAGGATTATTGTTGATGCCACAAGATCAAGACTGATAGTTTAAGAAATATTTGAATTAAAATAAATGTTATACTTTTAGGCTAAGTGTACATTAAGAACAAAGTTTAGAGAATAAGCAAATTCATTTTAGACTCATTCCTTTAGATTGGTTGTATAATTTTTCACAAATATGAAGTTCAATTATTGTTTAAAAGAGCCAGTATTTTGGACTAAAGTTGCCAGAGTGCAAGTCTCAGGAAGTTTGTTTGGCAGTAAACAATTACAATTACAAAAAATACACGATTTTTGTAGATGTACTATGTCATGTAAATTGAATAATTAAAAAATGAGAAGCAAATCCATATAAAGATAGGCCTACAGAAAGATGTTTAATTTACATAAATATTCATGTCTTGTAAGGAAGCTAGATGCAAACTAAACTAGCATTATACTGTAAATTTTATTCTTAAGTTTTCAAACCATGTGGCATAATAATTTTGCCACATGGTAAAATAAATGCTACTGCATGTTTAATATAGTTTTAGACTGAATAAAATATTGTTTCAAGGTAATTGACAACTTTTGTAGTCACCGGTGGTGGTGGTGTACCATTATCACCTGATGTAACAACCTTTTTGGGGGTTATACAGTTTTATCTCTACAGTACTGTGTATAATACTGTACACATGGTTACAGTGGGGTGATTCTGGGGTTCTAGGGTCCCACGACCCAGTTTCTGACTAGGCCGCCTATATAATACATGTGATAATGTTGTACGGTTGGTACAGTAGATGCATTTAGAATTTGTAGCCTTTACAACCATTCATTGTGCACAGAAAAATCACATTCTTGAGGTTATCTTGAGATGATTTCGGGGCTTTTTAGTGTCCCCGCGGCCTGGTCCTCGACCAGGCCACCACCCCCAGGAAGCAGCCCGTGACAGCTGACTAACACTCGGGTACCTATTTTACTGCTAGGTAACAGGGGCATAGGATGAAAGAATCTCTGCCCATTGTTTCTCGCCGGCGCCTGGGATTGAACCCAGGACTACAAGATCACAAGTCCAGCGTGCTGTCCGCTCGGCTGACCTGCTCCCATCTCATTAACGTGATGTATCCGAGAAAATTGGTAGGCACCATGATGAGGATTTTTACCTGCACAAGTATACCCAAGTATACCCCTTAAACAACTCTGCCACAACATGCTAAAAGCAATGCAACCGGAGATTCAACTGAATCCTCTTGGGGTCCTGAGGCTTCCACTGAAGCCCAATCAGGGTTTTGCACATTGCCCGCATGCATTCTGACTGTGGTAGAGGATTCAGTTGAATCCTAGGTTGTATTGCTTTTAGCATGTTGTGGCACAGTTGGTTACGGCATATACTTGGGAGTACCCAGCATGCCAGTTTGAATCCTTATCATGGCCTCTACTGACTTTACCATTGGTAGTGTCATACCACTGGCAGTCGTTAAAAGGGTTCCAGACACCAACAGACTTAGATATAAACTTGACAGATTTATTTATTGAAACCTTCTAAACATTGTTCTAAACATTGTGAATTTGGGGACGAGCATTTGTAAGCTGGTGGTGTTAAGCCATTAGTTACTGTTGGCTTGGCTCTTTAATTAAATTAAAATGTGAGTAGTAACTTTCCCATTGGGGATTCTTGTCTTTGTAATATTGACACTTAACACTATCTGAGAGAGAACTCTATCAACATCAGAGGCCCGAGACTGTTCAACACGCTTCCACTACACATAAGGGGCATAACTGGCCGACCCCTCAGTGTTCAAGAGAGAACTGGATAAGCACCTCCAAAGGATACCTGATCAACCAGGCTGTGACTCATACGTCAGGCTGCGAGCAGCCGCGTCCAACAGCCTGGTTGATCAGTCCGGCAACCAGGAGGCCTGGTCGACGACCGGGCCGCGGGAACACTAAGCCCCGGAAGCACCTCAAGGTAACCTCAAGGATTCTTGTGGTGTTAGTGTCATGCATGAGAGACCCAAACTGATCTACTAGGAACCAAGGGCCAAAATTAGACTTTTAGAAGTGAGGAAACCTTGGGGATCAGAGATCAACCCAAAGCCGAGAAAAATCAACCAAGAAATCGGATGAAACAAACCACTGACAAATTACAGTAAAATAAAGAAAATGTTGGAAACTATGCTGCAGGTGAACAACATCAGTCCAAATCTGCTTGACCACCACCAAATGGCAACTGGAGTACTGGCCTACAGCATTAGTTGCCTCACTGCTGGCAAGACTTTGTGACCACTGTAAGGCAAGGTGGTGTAGTTAGCTGTATGCTTGTATGTAATTGCCCCCTCCTTTTCCAGCACGTTGCCGTGATGAGGGGGCTTGGTGGGCAGCTGCCGGGTTGCAATGCTCCATGGGACAGTCATCTGTCCTTTTGAAGCCTTAAGCTCCTGCTGCCCTCTTCACTAATTTCGCTGGAAGCTCTTTCCTCTTCCTTATATATTTCATATTTACCTCCTTCCCCCCCCCCCTTCTCTTTTCTAATTGTCATTTCCCACTGACCTTACCATTCTTGATTATTCTTTCAGACATCTTCTGTTTTGATGCCTGGGTATTTGGCGAGGTGCGCACTCTCACCTGTAGAACTGTGGTAACCGACGTTTCGAGCAAGGGAACGCTTTTGCTGTCAATCCTCGCCTTCATTGTTGAACCCGATCTCGAAGGTTCTTAAGGTGGTGATTTCAGGGCGTATATTCACAATGTACCCCTGGGGGGTGGGGGCCTGGCTTGTCAGGTGTCCTATCCTCGAATTGTGGCTCCATGGTGGGTATGTGGGCTTATTTGTCAATTCAGAAATTATTGATTTCTGAATTTACCTACTTTTACCTACCTACTCTCCTATGCTGCTTATTACCTACTCTCTTCTATGCTGCTGAATGATCCTCTCATAATTTCCCAGGCTCGTAGGGTGGGCAATCAGGCCCCCCTCCCCTACGAGTCGGACTGTATTGGAAGACCGGGCTCTGTAGCCCCCACTACATTGGGCCCAGACCAATCTCCTCCTTTGACCCCCCTCACACGACTCCTTTCAGTGCTAATACATTCTGCGCCTTGTTTGGTCCTGCTACATGAACTAAGTACTTTGATCTCAACCATCTGGATTCTACACATCTTGACGATTTCTCTCCATAAACACCTCTTTGATTCGGTGGATGCCTTTGTTACTTTTAACCCCACCCGTTTTGATACACGTGTCGTTGCTGCTCTTAATTAGGAAGCAGCTTCCCGCTTAGCCGTATTGTCCAGCATTGGGAGACCCCTGTTAGGGTCTCCAAAAATTCCTGGTTAAATTCCAGCATTGGCATTGTTATCCTCCCACACAATGTTGCGGCTGGTGTCAAGGACCTGAAAGACTGCCACGAGGATATTAAACATATTCTTGAAGCCCAAGGCCATTCTGTCCTCCAGGTTGATACGTTCACTCGACCCCCTCGTGGTTGTCATCAGCCGCTTCCGAGTTGTGAAGATCACTTTTTGATAGCAAGACCCTTCCACCTTCTATAATTCTTGCTGGTATCAGATGCTCTGTTCAGGAGTACATTTCCTCTCCTAGACTTTGCAAAAAGTACTGGAGACTTGGGCATGGTGATCTTAAATGCACGAGTGCAGTGACTATATGCCCCATGTGCGGGGACTGGTCACTCTAAGACTAAGTGCTCTTCTTCCCAGGCTCACTGCCTCATTTACTATACCAGGAAAATTAGTTTACAATAAGGAATGGTATGCACAGTTTAAACCAACAAAAAGCATTTAGCATTATAATAATATACAGATATCAAAATACGATTAGCATGAAGGGTCAAAAATCTCACACTGAAGAAAGTAATTAAAGTTACATACATCACATGACTCAAAGGTACTGTATACACATTTAACATGTTATACAATTTCAATATGATTTAGAAAGCATATTAAAATTTAAATCAGAACAAATTACCACTTCACTTTTTGACATCCATTGACTCTTGAGTCTTACTTCCAGAGAGAACAAGATATGCAGCTCCAAGCTGTTTCTGTTTCTCCCTCTGTCTCTCTAGTGTCTGAAGTGGTGTATCTGATGAGCTCATGTGCTTCATTAGCAGCTCCTCATTCCATTTTTTCATCCGTTTTTCTGTCTTATTTTTACCCGAACCTTTCCCATGGAACTTGTGAGATAAATATCTGAAATGAGCAAATACCTTAGTTTTAAAAGCGAGATGAAATTTGCATACAAAATGATAGATTATTTAATATAATACAGAATCATGTAACTAGAGTAATTTAAGCTCTGTACTTACACATGACTTCTCAACTTAACATTTATTGTAGGGTGGAAATGTCAACTGATGCTGTTTGGAGTGCCCCTTCAAAGCAGCTCTTATGAAAACCTAACAAAGGAACATCCTCTTGCATCTAAAATACACATCTAGTACTAATTTTAAATCCTTTGAATTTAAAGAAGCTACACAAAAATCTTAAATTTTTTTCATCAGCTAAAATGAAACTTTCAAAAGCTCTGGTCTGAAGCTGGGCTATAAAATTATCTCCAGTATCTTAAGACTTATTAACGGAAATTTTAATCACATTTTATACAATAGACACTGAAAACTAAAAAAAAAAAAAAAAATCCCTCTTATAAAACTGCCTTTCTATTTTGTCCGAGCTGTGCACAAATCTCTCAAGATACTTGCAAAGTTTGGGACAGCAATTATTAAGACATTTATCCAGTAAAGTATGGATGTACAGGTACTGTATATACAAACATTCAGTTCACTGATAAAACCAAAGAAGTGTACAATACTTATACTGTATGTACTGTACATTACTCAAGATGTCGGATTCAATATTCCCCAACCTGTTCTCCTTGCAGGACATCACATTTTGACATATACTTTACCTAAGGCTAAAAACTGATGTACAAGAAAATGGTAGCAGCTTGTGAAATTGACAATGTCCTGTTTTCTGTTCATGGGTCCTCTGGTTGGTTAGGGTAATGCACTTTAGAACAACAGTTTTCTGATATTGGAAACACTCGCGAGAACGGACTGGATTCCCAGCAGTATCTAATAACAATTGCAGACGAAGTCACAATAACATGGCTGATATATGTTGACCAAACCACACACTAGAAAGTGAAGGGACAATGACGTTTTAGTTCGTCCTGGACCATTCTCAAGTCGATTGTATGACATCGTTGTCCCTTCACTTTCTAGTGTGTGGTTTGGTCAACATAATAACAATTGATTGAAGGAAGGGATTGATTAAAAATAAAGTTTACAGTCTTGAAAATCCAGGTGTGTAACTGACCAAAACTAGACAATTTGGGAAATAAGAGGTAGTTTGCTTTTCCATTAAAAGACCATTAGTCAACTTAGTACTGCATGGCTTAAGAAAGACTAAGGAAATTTCCCATCTCTGATGATACAAAGAAGACCAATAGGAAAAAAAAATTAAGATGCAGAGTTTATTATTTAACAAAGCTACCCATTTCACTCTCAAGTGTGTAAATATGGCTGAATCCACTGGGTAGCAATCTGTGAAAGGAATATGCTTTGAGAATCAGAGCACATCTGAATGTGAGTTTTTACTGTTCATCAGCCATTCCATTGTAGTAAAATGACTGATTAGGTATATAGCAAAACCCCACTTATTTATGTTTACTAAAAATATTGTATAACTAGTACTAAAACCCACTTTAAAGCAATGAAGCAAATACATAGCATTTTTAAGACCTACCTGAATGCCTCCTTTGCATTTAGCTTGCGACCTTCATCATCTACATATTCCAGCTTGACGTCAGGTTTGTAGTTGTCCTTGTCTTTAAAGTCTGTGACTGGCCCCATGTACCGTTCTCCACGGCCTCGACCACGCTCATCATCCACTGCTTTATCCTCTATGCTGTGGAAAGAAAAGAATCCATAAATTACTTACAATTCTGGAGTCAAATTTAAAATAATATTTAAATCTAAATTTTACTATAGCTAAAGAAAATTATAGAAAAAGTTTGATAAAAAACTGTTTTAAATTGTTAAAATTACAGCATTAGCCACTTAACTGCGCCAACCGAGTATTCTCGGTCGGCGGGAAACTGCGCCAACCGAGAAAACTTTTTGATTTTTCGGTACCAATTCTAAATGTGTACGAGGTTGGTTGTGTACGAAATGGACTCTTAGGACCTCCAGTGAGAGGCAGCCATCTTGGAAAAAATTCCCAGAATGCCTTAGGGCTGCTAGCTGGGTTAGTACTGAATGACCAACCATGGGTGGCGCACGCGCCTCTGGCTCCCAAACACCTGTTCGATGAGGTGTTGAAAGATAACGCTCTGTCGGTGAAATTCAAACCTTATTGTTTGAAGAACATAAGGGTCATAATATTGGTGAAGCTAGGCGCAATAAGGACCTAACACAAAGGTCGGATGCAAGTGATGCAGCACCTATGAGGGCGACACAGCGAGCTATCCAGTTGTTGAGCGTCACCCTTGCAATCCTATGCTATCTCTAATTTATTTAAATGATACATAGATGAATCGTTTTCTGCATTCAGTGATGATGCATCTGATACAAGTAGCATAGATGAACAGTGTTAGCAGCTTCCATGGTGGTGTTTTCCATAAATATTTTCAAGAATATCTGAATCTCTTCCTAACTGACAGACACTCTTTGAGGCTAGCTGAATCTTTTTCTGACTGACGGACACTCGTGAGGCAAGCTGAATCTTTTTCTGACTGATGGACACTCGTGAGGCAAGCTGAATCTCTTCCTGTGTGAGACCATACAAAGCGACCTTTTCAAGACTACCTTACAAATTGATCTTTTCCTATAACCTTTTCAATACTACCTTATGCTTTACAAGCTTGGCTACATACAACCTACAAGTACTAAAGCCAAGGGTGTACGTGAGTGCGTTATTTGCAAGCACACAGAATGAAGAACCAGGAAGCGAAATTTTTTATTTTCTACCTGGTGCACTGAGAGCAAAGTCGCGCTGTGTACCATAGACTACTTCGTTGATTATTACTCACTTCCGAAGTACTGAGTGTGTAATACAGTGTGTTACTGTGTAAATAGTGTGTGAAACTGTACATATTGTAATTTTAGTGAATTTTTAACAGGTAATACTGCAACAATAAACGTTTATTGTGGACACATTACTAGCACATGTATCACAGTTCCATGGAACATTATGAATGTTTTACTGTATACATATTGTAAAGGACACACATATGCATCATATACGATAAAAAAAAAAAAAAAGCATTGGTTTACATAAAACAAATAATTTAAAATATATTTGTGGCAACACCCGGTGCTTGAATGGCCCGCGCGACCGTGTCTGGGCGATTCATGCACGGGCATGAAGAGGCCTCATAGCCTGGTGGATAGCACGCAGGACTCGTAATTCTGTGGCGCGGGTTCGATTCCCGCACAAGGCAGAAACAAATGGGCAAGTTTCTTTCACCCTAAATGCCCCTGTTACCTAGCAGTAAATAGGTACCTAGGAGTTAGTCAGCTGTCACGGGCTGCTTCCTGGGATGTGTATTGTGAAAAAAAAGTAGGTAGTAAACAGTTGAGAGGTGGGCCGAAAGAGCAAAGCTCAACCCCCGCAAACACAACTAGGTGAATACGGGCGACCAGGTCCTGATGACATCACAGCGCACCTTGTCCACGTCCCCACAGCCAAAGTGGAATTTGGTATATATTTTTGCATAGACATGTTCAGGAAAGGGAATTTATCATTTTACGAAGAAAAAATAAATTTTTTGGAACACTTTATTTCATGCGCACCTGGGGAATTTCCCAATAAACTCGGCGCTGCATGGTGGTTAATTTACAATACTAAATTCTCTCATTTTATGTTTGTAAAGCAATTTATATAGTTAGAACATTGATTTTAGTAGCAAAACATTCAGAATTTTTTGCTTTGAGTTTTAGCATAAAAAAACCAGCATTGAATGTAATGAATTGCCATTTTCTGGGTGGTAGACGGTTGGAACAAGCTAAGTAAGGTGGTGGAGGAGCCCAAAACTGTCAAGTTTCAAAGCATTACATGACAAAGAGTACAGTACTGGGAAGATGGGACACCACGAACATAGTTCTCATCCTGTAACTACACTTAGGTAATTACAATGAAATTTCTGGGAGCTCCTCAGTGACTTCCTAGGAATTTCACCTGGCATCTAAGCCCCAGATTGATCTACCAGGATAAAACCAGAATCTGATTATAAAGGATGGGAAGCTTGGGAATCAGCAATCCCATGCATACTGAGTAAAGGCTCAAAGAATAAAGAAGGTCAAGGAGCCACCACACCCCCTCAAAGAGCAGCCATAAATCCTGGTTCCAGCTCAGCGGATAAATACTGAAGACTGACAGGTCTAATGATATATTATAAAACATTTCTTACCTGTAATGCACGGCTCTCAGATGCTGCAAGGCAGCATTAGCAGATTTAGTTACGTTTGTTTTCTCTAAGTAGCCCTTCTTAAGGGCCAGTTTGAGGGCATTAGCAACTCCCTTACTGGCATCGGGTTCCTCCTCTAGGATGGGAACGGTCATGCTATCACTGATCTCCACTCGCGTGTCGTCAATCCCCACTTCCTCCCATGCTCCACGAGGCTCCTGAGCTTCCTTCTCCTGTTACAGGGCACACATTTTACTTCAATACAAAAACATTGCAATTTACTGACTTGTATACCAACATCACAAATTTTCCCAATAGTATTTTAATACTAGTACAATAATATTAATAATGGATAATAATTCACTCAGCCCTATTTTGGCAAGTGTGCATGTCAGTACACCACTTAACAAACACAAATATTAAACACACACATTAACACACGTTAACAAATACATCACGATAACATACATCATGATAACAAACATATCAATCATAGGCAGTGATGTGGTGGAGGCAGACTCCATACACAGTTTCAAATGTAGATATGATAGAGCCCAATAGGCTCAGGAACCTGTACACCAGGTTCAATCATCATATACAGGTGTATATGATGATACTCAATCATTCAATACATCAGGTACAGGTGTACAAACAGGTAAACCAGTTGACTGACAGTTGAGAGGGGGGGATTAAAGAGCCGAAGCTCACACCCTGCAAGGACAGCTAGGCGAGTGCAATGTAAACACACACATTGTGCTAACAAACTCTGTTAAAACAAATTGTATAAACAAACTATGTTAAACACCCATGTTAACAAACACACCATGCTAGCAAACACACCATGTTAACAAACACACCATATTAACACACACCATGCTAGCAAACACACTATGCTAGCAAACACACACCATGTTAACAAACACACTATATAAACAGACTCCCCACATTAAATACACCATGTTAACAAACACCATGTAACAAACATGCCATGTTAATAAACATACCATGTTAACAAGCACAGTATGCTAACACAGTACTGTACTAAGTTAACAAACACATCATGTTAGTTACCATACCATGTTAAAAATATGTGAGCTACATCTTGCATTGCCTTTACACATATGTAAATAAATATCAATCCAACTTTTCGTTCTAATGTATGTGGATAGTTATTAAATAAATAAATGTTATTAAGACTTTCAAACTTTTCTTGAATCTTGAATAATATTTGGAATTCTAAAGTGTTAATCACTTCTAATGATCTTATCCTATTTATTTTCATCATCATATTTATGACGACAAACCAACAGTTTTACCAAGAATCTCCTCAAGGTTGATTGAGAACAACAATTTCCACAGCAGTTGAAAAGCATTGTTCGTTGTGTCTAGTGATAAACTTTTCCTCAAAAAGTTGAAGAACAGTAATTGCAAAGAGGCACAAGGTTTCACACTCTGGGCCGGATTATTGCTCAAGTGTGTTCTTGATAGTTTGTCAAAGATGAAGCAACCCAAGGTTACTTCTTACCTGAAGTCATGATATGTCGTTTCCCGTGGGAAACAAGTTGGAAAAGAAACACGACACAAATGGGAAATTGGAAACTTCAATTTATCAGAGATGAAAACAAGTTGTGAGCAAGATAAATTAATTACAAGAGGTAAAAGTTAACTATAATCATGTTTTAAAAGAAAGTATGATAAAAGCAAAAGTGTTAGCAATTATTTCACCAGGCAACTGATGACTAGAAGACACAACCCAGGAGCTATAGTTTCATCTTCAAAAACACACAGCTGCAGTTATAAAACAGCTTTCCCAAACTTGACTGCTAACAATAAAGACACTACAGATTCGAGTGAAGACAAGTTTCAATACAATAATGTTAGGTTATATTGTTTTCTCATTATGATCTTTAGGAATGAAATAACTGACATTAATTGTGAGAACTGAAGAAGACTGTATTTAACTCTACAATAATTGAAATATAATAGAAGATAGAGAAGCTACAACTTGAGGTGTATAAGTATACCTTAGGTTGCTGTAGCTGCAACATTGTTTGCTCATCATCTGCTCGATTACCAGAAAGACCATAAGTAGGAAGATCCCCTAAAGTGCGGCAAAATTCATCAGTGGTGTTGAGCGTCATGACAAGTCCGGCTCCATCTTCTTCCATGACCTCTTCTGTTTCTTCCTTTTTTATAGGTTTTTCCTTTAACAAGTCTAGAATTTTCTCACTGCTAGGTTGTGCAGACTGGGCAATCTTGGCCCTCCTTGACCTTGCTAATGCTTCTTGGAGTTCAATATCATCTTGTTCACTCTCAACAGCATCAACATCATCATCATCATCTTCCATTTTTACTTTTTCATCTTCTTCTTCCAGCAAATCTCTAAGACAATGTGTGCGACCTGCACTGGGAGTACCCAGTCCATCAGCAGGTAACCGTTCCTTGTCATTATTGACTTCTAGGGCTTCTAACCGGGCTTGTCTAGCAGTACTTGACCCCAGGTAAACTAAAGACTCTTCTTCAATAGGTTCCAAATCATCAGCTCTTAATTTCTTTTTCTTTTTTTTCTTAGTCTTTTTCACTTTTCGAAAGCTAACCATTTCAGTTTCAGTAAAGTACTCTGAAGCTAACTGGACCTGTGGAGTCTCCAAATTCTGCAATTTTCGTAACTTTGCAATCCTTCTTACAGCTTCTGGCACATCATCATAAGCTGATGCTCCTCCACCTACACCCAAGCGAAAACTTTGCTTCTTCTCTCCTTCAATTTCTTCATCATACTTTGTAAGAAGCGTTCTCTGAACAATGTTTCCATACTCATCAACTTCTGGCGCTTCATATTCTAACTCGTCTAACTTTAATTTTCTTCGTTTCAAATTCTGAAAAAAAAAAAAAATTAACAATATGTTAGCATTATTAGTAACAGTGTAACTGTCTTACTGCAAATTAAAGCGTGTTGTATAGACTGTAGTGGGTGAACTAAGTCGCTAAGTCCAAATATTGATAACATACACAAAAAAAAGTACACACTAGTCTCTACCTCCCTCTCCCTCCCACACACTACTTTCTCCTTTCTTCCCTCATTTTCACTTGCTGAGAAAGTTTTTTTTAGTCATCTAAAAGTTTTGGGTCCCATAATAATTGTACATATAAAATTTTGACAGTAAATTTTTCGCCAGTTATTGATACCAGTATATCATATGTGATTACTAAAATGAAAAATACATAATATAAATAAATATTTTATGAATTTTTATGTTAAGACTGACAAATTTTATGAGTGCAAATATTGGTCATAATGTAATGTGTGCACGCCCATGAATAATTGTTATATAGTTTTAAGTTTGATTAAGTTTGACTGCTCTGTTATATGAAACAGTCAAAATGAAGACTGTGTTATAAATTAATTTTCTATGATTTCTTTTTAGTTTAGTGCTGGAGATTGGCAGGTTATGATGGGTTTATACTTACTAAAATATGCTTCATATTTCACTACACTACTCTGTGACAAACCTGCATATGCAAGTATGCAGTGCAAGTGGGCCCTCTTTATTTTTTTTTAAACTGGGGGTTTTGCCATAGGTTTGATGGGGTTGAATGAAATCTCTCGTGCAACAAATCGGCTTCTTCCATAGTTCATTCAAGCAAGGTCACACTATACATGTAATAACTGTACATATTACTGTACATTGCAAACCTATTTATCAGATTCGATCACTATGAACAAGTATTGTAACACCCTATATTTCTGCCTGGCATCAGAAAAAACTTTATGAAAAGTAAGTCAGGATTACCATCCAAACAAGGTAACTAACCCTAGATTATCTATATTCTTTTCAAGGTGAAACTCAAGTACAGTATTGAGTAATCAAGTCTAAAATCCTATCTTTAAACAAAATAAATAACTAGTAACTTACCCTCTCTGCTCTCTCATCATCCATTATGTTGACATTTATAAGTGTATCCTCTTCTCCATCCAACACTTTACTATCCTTCAAGGTTAAGATAGTTGTACCACCAGTATCAAATCTGAAAACATAAGGTTTTCAAAGACAGAATATGTTAGCAATATATTACACTATAAGGCATTACATTATCAGCCCTTATCTGAAATGTCAGGGAAGATTGCATCTTCCTAGATTGCCAAAATGTGAACACTGTCCCCCAATAAAAGGTTGATACTAAAGTTGGAATAGTACACTGGAAAGATACTGGACTGCATTAGAGTACAAAGTACTGTATGAGCTAGAGTACCTGGACTATATGAGAAGGATCCCAATCCAGTTAAACCCAACATCCAGTTAAGCCCAACATCCAGTGACAAACTCTCCCTACCCCATACCTCCGTGCACCCCCACCTTACCTTTGCCCTCCCTCAACCCACCACCATCCCAACCCTTGTCATCACCCAATCTTTCCCCTCCCTACCCATGTCATGCTCCCACTCTCACCCTCCCAACTCTCCCTACCTCCATGCACTCCCACCCAACCACTGCCCTCCCTCCATCCATCACCCACCCAACCCTCGCCATCACTCAATCCTTTTCCTCACTCCCCATGCCATGACCCCATCCTCCCCCTCCTAGCTCTTTCCGGAAGACAGGCTGTCAGGATACACATACTGCACAAAGTCTGTATCATTGACTGCCAGACAATACAACACTGGACAGACAGGTGATCACATGTCTCCTTCCTGTTCAACCCTCTTGCCTTTCCCAACTCACCCATGAGTGTTAACACTTGCTATACGATGATATAACAATCATTTAACACAATGTGTTAAAATCTATTTTTTCTTCTTATAAATATTTAAATTAATAAATATCCAACCAAATACTGTTCAAACATTATGCTGTATTATTTAAAATTTGTAACTAGCCCTCCATGGCAAAAGCAAAAAAATTAAACAACTCGTGCCCCTCCTCCGACCCTCCCACTATACCAGAAACGAGCCCTTCCCGACCGCCACCCACCCTCTTGCTAGGGTTAACATAGTGCCCATTCCTCTGGTACACAAAGATTGACATGCACCACTCTCCCAGTGGAAGCACTCTCTACATGTTTACATTAATAAATGTAATACCCACATGCTGAAAACCCATACAACATTCAAAGACTCAACACATCCACAACCACATCCAGAGACTCCCCACACGAACTCCTGATACCCACACCCACTCCAGACATCCACACTCCACTCCAGCCTCCCTGCTTGCCTGCCCACCTTCCCAAAATCCCTAACCCTGGATCCCTCCTTCCCTCCCTGCCTGCCTCCTCCCCTCTCTCTTCTCCCTGCCTGACTCCCTCCCTCCCTCCCTTCCCTCCCTCCCTCCCCTCCCTCCCCCTCCCTGCCTGCCTGCCTGCCTGCCTGCCTGCCTCCCTCAGTCCTTGAATGCTTCACTCCCTCCATCAGTTTACTGAGAAATTTCACTAATTTCACAAGTGAAATTATCTCAATAATTGTGGTGGGCTGCAAGAGTTATGGCAAGTGGTGTACAAGGAGTGTTAGGCCGGGCATTTTACTGGTTTATCTTTCAGGGGGAAAGGTTCGCACTATATATTCGGGGGCAAGTCAACCCCAGGTTTTGGAGAGTTTTTTAAGACTTCAAATGTTGACTCGAACACCAGCTTATACGGTAAACTCTTTGCCTGTCTATCTGTATCAGGACAAACATTCAGTCATATCCATATCTGGATATGGACATAAATTTAACTGGGTGTGATTTTGTCTAGATGACCCAAATATCCGGTTTAGTGGAATCTGGATAATCGAGCTCATACAGCATTTGACAAACACTAAACAAAGGATTGTAGTGAGAGAAAGAAGGTAAGATATGGCAAGTCGTGTCCTATCATGTTTGGTACCTAAGCCCTACTGTTTCTGATTTAACCCTTAAATGGCACAATACATATATATATGATGGGAGTAACTGTCACAGAATGGTGCACATCGTACATAATACGACTGAGGTCCAGCACACAATTTTAAATGCCCCGCGAGGGATAAGGGCAGCAATAGTACAGCCACAACGAATAGTAAACAGACGCCATCTTGGAAAAAAATCGTGGGTAACATTCATGGGTGTGTGAGCCTCAGTAATGAGCAAACAACCAAGGCTGGCACACACAGCATGAGCTAACAGCACTGCCAGCACTGACAATGCTGCTTGTGAACACAGCATTGTCTAAATATGTAACGCCAAAATATGTAACAATATATATGAACCTGCTATTATTTGGCGATGATAATATTAGAGAAGACCCCCTGACTGTGATAAAAATGACCAGGATTCTGATAATAGTAGAATTGTGGTGATAATTAGCGCCGTGCTCAATGGTGGGAGAAGTAATGCTGAGGGAGGGAGGTGGTGTCGTCTTCTGTGTGGCCATCTTTTATTGTCTACTCACCATACCAGCTTAGTGGTTTGCTATGGTGAACACAAATGTAGATACTTATATATAACGTGTGTATAGAGTGTAATAACAGCAATAGGAGTATGTTTGGAGCAGCCATTTTGGTGAAGAAGGTGGCGTCGTCTGCATGACATGTCATACTGTGTACTGGTGGCCACTATGCTCTTTGGGCACTATACTAGCTTAGTTGTGCAGTTATGGTGAATAAAACATATAGATACTTATATATAATTTGTGTATGTAGATAATAACACCATAAACAGTAATGTTGGTGGAAAAATGTTAGTGCATCTGGCCTTGAACCAGCGAGGGAGAGGCAGCTGTCAGCTGTGTGTGGGGCCACCTCTCTTATTACCTGAACTCACCATACAGCTTAGTTGTACAATTATGGTGAACAAAATATGTAGATACTTATATATAACGTCTGTATATAGTGAATAAAAGCAAAAATAGTATGGTGGGAGGAGAATGTTGGCGAGTGAGTTGTCGTTGAGGGAGGGAGTGGCAGCGAGTGGCTGGCTGGCTGGCTGGTGTGGCGGCCACTCCTCGTTGCTTTTTGACACACCATACCAACTTAGTGGTTCATTTTGGTGAACAAAACATGCAGATACTTATATATAACGTGTGTGTGTGTGTGTATATAGTGTAATAACAGCAAAACTATTTGTTTATTGTTTTATGAACATAATAATTGAATCACTAATATGCACACCATAATTTTGAGTATAGCGATGGTTCATACATTTTATTATATAAATACTGTATATCACACTACACACTATTGAATAATATTACTGTACATGTACTGCAAAAAAACTAAGAAAAAATCAGAGACATTGAAATAATTAGGTAATAATATCTTTGTGGCAACTCCCGCCTGACAGCTTGGGTGGAACAGACCGCCTTGGACGCACGCTTAGTCAGCGCCTCTTTTTTGCCAGACTTCTCCGCCCTATAGCAATCAAAATATGCCACTTACAATTTTTTTGTCATTTTTTCCGTGATCAGGGAACACAAATTAAAAGGTTTAGATTTTTTTTTTTTATGCACCTGTGGGTGACAATTGCCAAATAGACCTTAGCAACACAAGGGTTAAGGCCCAGAGCACCACAAGGGTTAAGGCCCAGAGCACCACAAGGGTTAAGGCCCAGAGCAAGACAAGGATTAAGGAAACAACTTCCCATAGGATACATGATAGCAATTGATAAAGAACAAATCCACAAGGGCCGTGACGAGGATTCGAACCTACGTCCGGTAGCATCCCAGACGCTGCCTTAATTGACTGAGCTACGACATGGTCAAAAAGAGTTGAAACCGAAGTTCTGCTGAACTTACTGGATCCTGCAGCCTCTCCGAGGCACAAACCAGGGTTTTACACAACTCCCCCATAATCTCGAGCTATGTCAATAGGCTGTTCTCCCTCTTCGCCCTTACTTCATTACACACAGAAATCACAATAGTGTGATGCATCAAATGAACAAATCCTCAAGGGCCGTGACGAGGATTCGAATCTACGTCCGGGAGCATCCGAGACGCTGCATTAATCGACTGAGCTACGACATAGTCAAAAAGAGTTGAAACCGAAGTTCTCCTGAACTTACTGGATCCTGCAGCCTCTCCGAGGCACAAACCAGGGTTTTACACAACTGCCCCATGCACTCGAGCTATGTCAATAGGTTCGAATCCTCGTCACGGGCTAAGTAAGGGCTAAGAGGGAGAACGGCCTATGGACATAGCTCGAGTACATGGGGAAGTTGTGTAAAACCCTGGTTTGTGCCTCGGAGAGGCTGCAGGATCCATTAAGTTCAGTAGAACTTCGGTTTCAACTCTTTAAGACTGGCAGGTGTTATGAGTCCTGGGTGGATCATATAACAATTGCTTATGGGAACATCCAAAGGGCCACAGCTGAGAAATGTATATAAATTAAATACATGTGGCATCCCTATGAATAGAATCCCTCATATCAATGGAGATTCATTGTAAGCACATCCAGCTTACTGACCTTGAAAAATCATGCTGCACCTGAAGACCTGATAAATCATTGTAGCTGTATTTCTTGACTTTCTGCTCAGTCATGTCTTGCTCTACTAAATCTGCGATGCCAAACTGAGCATCCAACTCCTCCAACATCTTGCTCTGCAACATAAATGATCCTTAAATTATATATACCCATGTTCTTGCTAGTATACATTACATCACAGCAATACATGGTGACAGGTAAGAAATGTATTTTTGTCCATGTGCTTGCACTTACATGTACATCATGGCCTCGGAAGCACACGCTCACAAACATATATAACAGTTTCAGCTATGCAGCTGAAAGCTACCAATAACAAAAATGTATGAAATAGTATAGAGATAATATGCTCACCTTTTTTTCTGCCAATTCTCTTTCCTTTGTTAACTGGCGTGACTTCTTCACCCAAGCCAAGGCACATTCATCATCACTGTCAGATTCGCCCAGAGTCTTCACCTTCTGTAACTTTTCCTTGATGCGCCGCTTCTCTCTCTGGGCAGCTATTTTTTCTCTTAGCTTCTCTACCTGGATTTAGAGATTATTACACTAAATATGATCAAGAAAAATTTTAAAATACATATATATATGTTCCTTGGGTGGCCATTAACACTAAAAACTTATAAAACAAAAGAAGGAATTTACTTGTACAGTAGTTTACTTTAGTTGGTTTCAAATTGTTCTACTCGCCAAGCCCAGCCATGATCCAGGCTTATCTGGCAATAACTTAATAGATAAGACTGCATTTTTATTTTATTCTAATGCTCCCATGATTTTACCAGTGGTCAAGTAACTGCAAAATACAGAAGACCTGTTCTAAGCCAGTGTTTACCTGTGTTTTATAGTTAATTTCCCAATAAACTAGAGATTAGACTCCTGATTACTCCCTCAAAAACCTTAATAATGTGTGGCATTACTGTGAGCATCTATAGTTCTTTACCATTGTTTTGTTGCCTTCCTTTTTGAGTGCTAATTTAAGTAAATCACCAGAAAAACATTTATTCACCATACTTCACTAAGCAATCCTTTGCTCACTGACACTCACATTCCTGCATTGGTCAATTTTCTTCAATTTCTCTACTTCAGCCACAATGACTGGTCACAATGTTACTCTACCAACTTCTGTTTTCAGGTTCCTGATGGTCTTTTCTAATTCCATTGTCTTTCTCTTCTTCCAACTTTATATTTCTGTAACTGTTTCTGTCATAGTTACTGTACTTGTACTTGAATCAGTGGAAAATGACCTTGTAGTGGGTGCTATAGACCTGCAGTGAGTCTCCTAGGTGTATTGCAAGATATATTTATGGGAGCAGAAAAGTGTCTCACATGAGGGGTGGATGACCTGGCCGGAGCCCACGAGTGGGTAAGGCGGCAGCCGGAAGGACCCGCATGCGCATACATGATATCCCTCCCGCTCCAGGGCCTTGTTAGGAGCTTCCACTATGTCTAGTTTTCCATGTATGCCGACGTCAAGTCATCAATCCTGCCGCTTAGGCAGCTTGCTGTTTTGGCCTTCAGCATTAGTTCTTTTTTAATGATATACTGTGCACCCCTTACTTGTGTGTGCTGTGTCCCATATAAGAAAAAAAAACAAATACAAAAGAATTTTCCATTTAATGTTTGTTTTTCAGGTTATTATTGTGTGTTATTAGTATCATCTTAACTCTTGTGGGTTGTGATGAAATCTGCCATTTATGTGTATTTTAGTTTGTGTTTTGATAGGGTATTAGGTATGCTTAGGGGTGCCTTCTCGCCATGCCCTGTGGCTGGGGGAATTGGTGCCCTGAAGCTACATAAACAACCTATACCCCCCCCCCCCCCCGAAGTGGCAAGGGGAGTTAGGGGACAAGATAGTAACTTAAAAAATACTATCTTGAAAACCCTAAATAAGGGCGTCCCTATTATATGAATGCCCATTATACAAACACTCATCCATCCGAACACCCTCCCAAGTCTCCATTTTTGTCTTAATCCACTATACATAATCTATCAAAATGTGCACATGGCCCATTAATGCCATGTTGCTACCCATGCTGCCCCAGTCAGCAGTACTGTGATCACTTTCATAAGGCATTAATCCTCTTTACTCCCAAAGTTCTAACAGAGAAAGGTAATTTCACACGTAAATGTTGGCACAATTTGCCATCCCTGGCCACTCGTACATCTCTACATGATTCTTATGTTACTCCTTCACTAATTTCCCTGTAATTATTGTATAGCAGGCAGGCATTCTCAGTAGGGCAATGGTACCTGCTTGTTTGATACCTGCTTGATGGGGTTCTGGGAGTTCTTCTTCTCCCCAAGCCCGGCCCGAGGCCAGGCTCGACTTTGAAGTCTTAATCAGGCAGTCATAGTCAGTCAGTTTCAGTCGGTCTGTCATTATTTCATCTGTAAAAGGATACCCAGGAAGTGGTTGAGAGGGATGGGGGATGAGAGGGATGGGAGATGAGAAGGATGGGGAATAAGAGGGTGTCAGGGTGGATGGGAGGGATGGGCCTGAGGGCAGAAACAGGTGTGTGAGGATGGTAAAGAGGGGAAGAGCAAGGAAGCAGGTGGGCGAGTGAGACAGCTCAAAAATTTTCTCATTTTGTCAGACAAGCTATCAGCCAGCCTGTCGAGAGTGGGTAGGTGTCAGGGTTGGAAGGTGGTGTATGAAGTGAGTGGGTGGATTAGTGTCAGGAATGATGGGTTGGTCTCAAGAATGGATGGGATGCTGTCAGAAATGGATGAGATACTGTCAGAAATGGATGAGATACTGTCAGAAATGGATAGGATGGGGTCAGAAATGGAGGGGATGTCAGTAGGTAGGTGGGTGAATGGGTGTCAGGAGTGTGTGGGTAGGGTAGGTGTTGGGAGAGTAAGTGGATGGGTAATTACCTAAGTGTAGTTACAGGATGAGAGCTACGCTCATGGTGTCCCATTTTACCAGTACTCTTTGTTGTATATGTATAATGTTGTATGATGTTAAGCCCCGAAATCATCAAGATAACCTCAATATATTGGCGCCATACAACTGCTACTGGTTTTTCCAGTTTTGGGCTCACAAAAGCCATGAACAGTTTCCTTAGCATTTCACCATCCATGTACTGTAATTAAAATATGGTTGTGGGTATCGGGAGTCTCTATGGGAGTGGTGATGCTGGGAAGATGACAATATTGAGAGTGGTAGCTCTCAAGTCCTCAGTGACCCACAAACTCTCATGGTTTAGACAAGACCTGATTGTTTTTACCCTGCTGGTAGGGTGGAGTCAGTGAGTGGGTGATGAAAGGAGGGCGAGAGGTGTTTACTCGTGTGATGAATTACAGATAGTTGACTCCAAATACAGTATTTTCATCTCATTTTATAGTAAAGTACTGTATTGTGAGTATGGGAAATCTCATTCATGTTCTGAAAAAATGCTTTACAAACCCCTTTTCAGAATGTAACCACATTAAGGAACCCCATGTACCATTATTCCTATCAGTAATGATAATTTAACAAAAAAATAATTTACTGTACTATATTTATAACTAGAACTGCAAGAGCATAACACATACAAAATATTTTTAATTCAATCAAGCATCCTGAAAATGTTATTAGTCATTAAAGAAAGCACACATCATTTCATTTCAATAAGCTTTTGAAAGAAACATGTTAACAAATCTGATTGCAAAAGATCATGTGTGGACAAATGTAGTGGCATAAAAGTGTGTGTGTTATCTGCAAATGTAGTAAGGCCAAAATAAACAATACTTACCTCAAACTTTATTTATGAAACAAAATTCTGAAGTTCCATAAAATTTTCATGTCGACAGATGGAACTATTTTTTATTTGTTTATTTATTTTATTACTAGAATCAAAGTTAAAATATTTGTATAACTCACCTGTAACTTTTGGGTGATGCTCTCTGCAGGCTTGTGAACAAATTCATCTTGCTTGCTTGTCTGAGTATCATCCTCTATCTCTATAACATCTGGTCTGTCATCGTCTTTAGCAGGAGCAGAATCAAGCTGCAAGTAAATCAATTACTGACCAATTAATAGAAAACATTTTACCAGCAGACAGATTGTAGGGGATTGATTGACCCAACTTTGGGTCAACAGCCACACTCTGATATGTCAGTTGTGAGACTACTGTCATGAGTGAACTAGGCATTATCTTTGGCCACAGCCAGTGTGGCATTATCTCTAGCCACAGCTACACTGTGGCATTACCTTTGGCCACAGCCACAGTGTGGTATTATCTCTGGCCACAGCCACAGTGTGGTATTATCTCTGGCCACAGCCACACTGTGGCATTATCTCTAGCCACAGCTACACTGTGGCATTACCTCTGACCACAGCCACAGTGTGGCATTATCTCTGGCCACAGTGTGGCATTATCTCTGGCCACAGTGTGGCATTATCTCTGGCCACAGTGTGGCATTATCTCTGGCCACAGTGTGGCATTATCTCTGGCCACAGTGTGGCATTATCTCTGGCCACAGTGTGGCATTATCTCTGGCCACAGTGTGGCATTATCTCTGGCCACAGTGTGGCATTATCTCTGGCCACAGAGAGACATTATCTCTGGCCACAGGGTGGCATTATCTCTGGCCACAGTGTGGCATTATCTCTGGCCACAGTGTGGCATTATCTCTGGCCACAGTGTGGCATTATCTCTGGCCACAGTGTGGCATTATCTCTGGCCACAGTGTGGCATTATCTCTGGCCACAGTGTGGCATTATCTCTGGCCACAGTGTGGCATTATCTCTGGCCACAGTGTGGCATTATCTCTGGCCACAGCCACAGTGTGGCATTATCTCTGGCCACAGCCACAGTGTGGCATTATCTCTGGCCACAGCCACAGTGTGGCATTATCTCTGGCCACAGCCACAGTGTGGCATTATCTCTGGCCACAGCCACAGTGTGGCATTATCTCTGGCCACAGCCACAGTGTGGCATTATCTCTGGCCACAGCCACAGTGTGGCATTATCTCTGGCCACAGTCACAGTGTGGCATTATCTCTGGCCACAGCCACAGTGTGGCATTATCTCTGGCCACAGCGTGGCATTATCTCTGGCCACAGCCACAGTGTGGCATTATCTCTGGCCACAGCCACAGTGTGGCATTATCTCTGGCCACAGCCACAGTGTGGCATTATCTCTGGCCACAGCCACAGTGTGGCATTATCTCTGGCCACAGCCACAGTGTGGCATTATCTCTGGCCACAGCCACAGTGTGGCATTATCTCTGGCCACAGCCACAGTGTGGCATTATCTCTGGCCACAGCCACAGTGTGGCATTATCTCTGGCCACAGCCACAGTGTGGCATTATCTCTGGCCACAGCCACAGTGTGGCATTATCTCTGGCCACAGCCACAGTGTGGCATTATCTCTGGCCACAGCCACACTCTGGGTCAACAGCCATACTCTGGGGCCACAGACACACTCTGGCAACACTCTGGGGCCACAGACACACTCTGGCAACACTCTGGGGCCACACACACACTCTGGCAACACTCTGGGGCCACAGACACACTCTGGCAACACTCTGGGGCCACAGACACACTCTGGCAACACTCTGGGGCCACAGACACACTCTGGCAACACTCTGGGGCCACAGACACACTCTGGCAACACTCTGGGGCCACAGACACACTCTGGCAACGCACACTAACTACTATACCAGTTTGAAACTTACTTTAAACCATAACATTGTAAATTTTATCAACATGTAGCAATTAATAATGAAATCAACCATATTTGTAAATATTTTATAATTTAACAGATATTAGAAATTTATAATATTTCTCTAATAAAATTTGAAAAATTATTAAAATTTTGCACAAGCATAAAATCAGTTAGAATAATCATTGAAATAAAATGTTTATCTTGTACTGTGTAACACAATAGATTCAGATATAAATGTAAGATAAAATTTTAACAAACCTTCAGTGGTTTTAACCCAAGCTTAGCCCGAATCTTATTTGTCTCTTCTATTGAGAGTGAAATATCTCCACCTCCACCAGAATGCTGTGCAGGCGGGGGAGAAGGAGACCGCCTTGAAAGCTTTGGAGGCGGTGGTACTGTAAGTTTTGGAGGTGGCGGAGCCGAGAGTTTTGGTGCTAGTGGAGCCGAAATTCTTGGCGGAGGCGGAACACGCAAGGCATGCTGTGCTGAAGAAAGTAAGATACAGCATATTAAAAAGCAGATTTTAATTCTTCACACATACATCATCATTCCACTTGCTGGAGAATTTCATGCCTTAAAGATTGACTTTAAGTTGCAGAATTAACAGAAGTTCTTAAAACAAATTTCTTCTGCTACTAGGATTTTATTTCAACATATAAAGATATGCAAGGAAACACCATGGTCCAAGTACACTTATCAGTATATCATATTTTTTCTGTAAGAGTTTTTACCCTATAGTTGCGCAAGACATCATATGATGCTTTAAGTGACTTGCAGTAAATTGCGCTCGGCATCACATGATGCTTTGGAGTACCGCGCAAGATTTAAATGGCCCACGGATACACAGGGTTCACCACACCTTTATCAGGGCTCTTGTAAACAGATGCCATTTAAAAAAAAAATCGTGGGCCAAATTCCCGGGTGTGAGGGGCCTCAGTATCGAGTGAGCTACCAAGCTTGACGCACGCAGCATGAAATCACCGCACTGCTGTTCAGCTTGTGACCACAGCATCGCCTAAAAATGCCCTAATTTTTGCTATTTTTTAGTGATGATATTATTACAGAAGACCTCTGACTGTGATAAAACTGACCAGGGTTCTGATAATAGCAGGACTGTGGTGATATTTAGCGCTGTGCTCCATGGAGGGATTAGTAATGCTGTGATGCTGTGGGAGGAAGGGTGGTGGCATTGTCTTCTGACTGTGTGTGGCCACCTTTTATTGACTGCACTCACCATACCAGCTTAGTGGTTCGCTATGGTGAACACAAATGTAGATACTTATATATAACGTCTGTATATAAAAGCAAAAACAGTATGGTGGGAGGAGAATGGTGGCAAGTCAGGTGAGGTGAGGGAGGGAGTGGGAGGGAGGGAGTGGGAGGGAGTGGCAGCCAGTGGCGGGCTGCCACTGGCTGCCACTGCCACTCAGCATGCCAACTTGTGGTTCGTTATAGTGAACACGAATGTAGATACTTACATATAACGTCTGTATATAGTGAATAAAAGCAAAAACAGTATGGTGGGAGGAGAATGTGGGTGAGTGAGGTGTTGAGGGAGTGAGTGGCAGCGAGTGGCTGGCTGGTGTGTGGTGGTCACTCCTCGTTACTTTTTGACTCATAATAGCAACTTAGTGGTTCGTTATGGTGAACAAAACATGCAGATACTTATATATAACCTGTGTATATAGTGTAATAACCGACAAAGTATTTGTTCACTGTTTGATGAACATAATTGAATCAACAATATGCACACCATATTTTTGAGTACAGCGATGATTCACTCCTTTTATTATATAAATATATCACACTACACACTATTGAATAATATTACAGCAAAAAAACTACGAAAAATCAATCAAGAGACATTGAAATAATTAGGTAATTATCTCTTTGTGGCAACTCCGGCCTGACAGCTGGCGAGCAAGACTGTCTGGGACGCACGCTGAGTCAGCGCCTGTTTTTTGCCAGACTTCCCCACCCTATAGCGGGCAATATATGCCACTTACGATTTTTTTATAATTTTTCCCATGATCAGTGAACACAAATAACAGGTTTAAAAGACAAAATTTTTTTTTTTTGGTATACGCCTGTGGGTGACACATGCTAAATAGCCAGGCCCCATACAAGGGTTAAGCATAGGTATACAGGACTGGTGTTTATACATTGAAGGAGAAGGTGGGGGTGAGGTCAGTAAGGTGAAGGTGGGGGGGGGGGGGGGGTGAGGTCAGTATGTTTGTGTGTATGTACTCACCTAATTGTGAGTACGCACGAACAAACAGTACAAGCACAAACACAGTTGTGCTTGCAGGATGGGGGGGGGGTTAACTTTGGCTCTTTGTTACTGCCTCTCAACTGTCAATCAACTGTTTACAGATTCTAGAGCTTATTGGGCTCTATCAAATCTACATTTGAAACTGTGTATGGAGTCTGCCTCTTCCTCATCACTGTCTAATGCATTCCATTTCTTAACTACTCTGACACTTAAACAATTCTTTGTAATGTCTTTGTGGCTCATTTGGGTACTAAATTTCCACCTGTGTTCCCTTGTTCGTGTTCCACCTGTGCTAAATAGTTTTTCTTTGTCCACCATGTCAATTCCCCTGAGAATTTTGTAGGTGGTGATCATGTCCCCACTTACTCTTCCAGGGTCATGAGGTTTAGCTCCTATAGCCTTTCCTCGTAGATCATACAGAATTTACGAGTGTGTATACATGTGTGTATACAGACATGTGTGAGTACATCTATGAATGTGAAAATGTGTTTTCAATGTGTCACTCATTTGGATACATAGTTTCCACCTGTATTTTCTTGTTTGTGCCTCACCAATGTCAAATAATTCCTTGCCTTCCCAGTCTATTCTCCTGAGAAATTTGTATATTGTAGTTATGTCACCCCTAACGCTTGTCTTCCTGTGATGAGATTTACACAATATGCCCTGCAAGGGTCAATTCAAATATGCAGCACTGACAGTGTTAAGGGTAAAGATCAACATTATTTATACACAATCAGAAAAGTACATTGTAAATAAGTTGTATATTATTTACAGTATGTTTTAAATATTTCTACTGTTTTCATTTAGTGAACAGATTGTCGAGCATTAGTTAATAATGTAATGTGGAATTGGATGCATAAACACTGATTAGAAATCTATAATTTCCTGGATATTATTATAGAAGATGAGCAAATCAGCTTTCTTACCAGGGCCATCATCTTTTAACTGTAGAAGCTGTTCAACATCAGAAAGAGACTCATCACTGAAGCTAGGAGACACAGATCGAGAGTGATCCTCTCGCCTCTTGGTACGTTGCTTCTTGTGTTTGTGATGATGCCTAAAACAAAACTAGAAGCTTTAATATCTTTATATGATAAAGCCAGTAAAAAAAAAAAAAAAAAGTCTTTAACCCTTAAACTGCTCAGCATAAGGGGGCAGGAAAGCAAAAAATATTCTAATTATGTAAAAAATTACTTAAAAATGTTAAACAAATCTCCAATGAACAAATCCACAAGGGCCGTGATGAGGATTCGAACCTGCGTCCGGAAGCATCCCAGACACTGCCTTAATCGACTGAGCTACGACAGGGTTAAAAAGAGTTGAAACCAAAGTTCTACTGAACTTACTGGATCCCGCAGCCTCTCCGAGGCACAAACCAGGGTTTTACACAACTCACCCCCCCCCCTGCACTCGAGCTATGTCAATAGGCCGTTCTCCCTCTTCGCCCTTACATCATTACACACCGAAATACACCGGTGTGTATTTGATATTGCACCATTCAATTTCAAAATTCACAGAAAATGCATTTATAGAACTGTATTATTATACTTATGAGATTTTCATATACTGTACTGCATGATAAAAAAATGCAAATAAAAACGTTTATGGTCGGCACATAGCATGGCTCATGGTCTGCTTCACTTTCCCTGGCTAATTTACCCTAAACATTACATTAACATGTTCACTTTTATACACCCATACTATGTTGTTGTTGTTGGTTGAGGGATCTGATGCGCCCCAGCTGCCCAACACCCATACTATATTACATTTCAAGCATTTCAAGAATTATTTCAAATGTATAAAATGGATTAAGTCGTCTCAAATGTGTATGTACACCGTATGCTGTATAAAATTACTTTTGTTCAACAAACCTGACCGAGTATAAATGTCGTGAAGAAATATAAAACTGGCAGTGAAGGGAGGGGTTTAGAGTAGTACCGACCGGTTCTCATATAGACTCCCTTCATAATGTTACCTATGGTGGTGCTTGCCTTCCCGATCTCTCTCCCTCGACCCCGACCTGGACCGCCGCTTCTTCTTCTTCTCCCTTCTCTCCTCTCTCGTCTTCTCTCGGTCTTTATCTTTGCTCTTCTTGGAGGAGCCCATAGTGGCGGGAGCAAGGTGTCTGGAATACAGTAGCGACCCACACGCACCAAGCTGGTCTCTCCGTCTCTCTACCAATGTTTACAAACGTTCATGATAAGTGAGCGTCGCGGCGCGCATCACCCACCACCTCAAACTCACTCCTTCCCATATTCCCCACAAACAAGCCCCACACCAACCCTTCTATATACCATCTATCCACCCATCCATTTTTCCATCGATCTATTCATCAATTTATCCATGTATCTATCAATCTATCTATCCATCAATTCATCCTAATCACCTAATCATAATCACCTAATCTACCCAATCATACTATCCATATATGTATATATATCCATCCATATATCCAATCACACTATCTATCTATCTCTCCATCCATCCATCCATCTACACATCTATCTATTCCATCTATCTTTCTTTCCATCTATCTTTCCATCTATCCGTCCATCTATCTACCCATTTATCTATCCATCTAGTTATCAGTCTATCCAACCATCCCTCTATCCTTCCATGTAGTCGTCTATCTATCCATCTCTGATTATCTGCCTCTGTCTGTATTTACCCGAATTTACCTGAGACACTTTCTCCCTAGTGGCCTCGACGAGAACAGGAAGCCGGCGGCTTGTCAAAGGTTCCCCCATTTGCCCTGATGATTTTATCGAGCTGGATTTTGAAATTCACTGAGGAATTCAATGTAGGACTGAAAACGGGGGATGCTTTTTCACCCCACAAGGTTATAAACCCATGGAACCGCCTACCCGCAAATGACCTTAATGTGGGTTTCTATATGTGTTATCCATCTTAAAATATGATGACCACATGAGGGGGGTTAGCCCCCCTCCCACCTGAATTTGATCAATCATACCTTCTTCTGATGTTAGCACAATATCTAGAATGTTGTTACCTGGTGTGGGCTCTACCACATGATGTGTGAGAAAGGAGTCCTAGTACCAGGTCTGAAATTGTTCTGCTTGTGATGTTAGATTGACACAATCTAAGGTGTCGTGGTTAAAGTTCCCCATTATTAGGGTTTGGGTTTCTGATGCCGCATTGATCACATTATGCAGATCAGCTTCTGACATTTGTGTAGAAACAATTTAAACTACTGACGTTGTTCCTGGGGGGCTGAGTGATTGCTCCTGTGTTCAGCACATTCCTATTCTATAGTAGGAATGTTGGGTTTAGTTGTTAAAGCTTTTTACTTACTTTTTTGGAATGTATTTATGAGTAGGGAGTCATAATAACAAGACGTACCAACACCACAGAGGGCTCTCACTCTTTTACTCTCATATGTAGACTGTTATCCCTTAATAAGGTAAGCTTTTAAGAGTAGCAGTAACTGTGAGGGCGCGTCTGGTTATGGCAGCCCGTCTTACAGTGTATCCCCAGGGGGCCATACACCCATAAGTACAGGTCAAAGAAAATAAAAATAAAATGATATTTTATTTAAGTAAGAGCACATACATAGATCTATATGATACAAGAACAGTGGAGGATTGCAATAGGTATGACAGGTATAATGGCTAAAGCTTCTAATACGTTGGGCATTTCATTCGTATTAAAACACTTTTTTATGCTTGAAAAGACAAGGTCTTGTACCAAAACAACAGTCAAGAAACATAGAAGGCCTAGACTAGTATTAAGTATATCAATTGTGTAAAGTGACTGGCTTGGCAAAAAATCTTCAACTCAATCTTTAGGAGGTCTGGTCGACGACCGGGCCGCGGGGACGCTAAGCCCCGAAAACACCTGAAGGTAAGATAGGGAAACTCGCCTACGTTTTACATGTCAATGTTTTAAATATAAAATAAAGTCACAACAAGCAAAAGGTTAATGTAACTTATCTTTTTTACTATTTCACAACTGTAGCACCAGCCTGCCACTACAGCTGTAGCTACCAGCCTGCCACTACAGCTGTAGCGATCAGCCTGCCACTACAGCTGTAGCGACCAGCCTGCCACTACAGCTGTAGCGACCAGCCTGCCAATACAGCTGTAGCAACCAGCCTGCCACTACAGCTGTAGTGACCAGCCTGCCACTACAGCTGTAGCGACCAGCCTGCCACTACAGCTGTAGCGACCAGCCTCCCACTACAGCTGTAGCTACCAGCCTGCCATTACAGCTGTAGCTACCAGCCTGCCACTACAGACTGGCAGTCAGGGCGGGCGTCAGTCAGGGCGGGCGTCAGTCAGGGCGGGCGTCAGTCAGGGCGGGCGTCAGTCAGGGCGGGCGTCAGTCAGGGCGGGCGTCAGTCAGGGCGGGCGTCAGTCAGGGCGGGCGTCAGTCAGGGGGGGCGTCAGTCAGGGCGGGCGTCAGTCAGGTTGGGCGTCAGTCAGGGCGGGCGTCTGTCAGGGCGGGCGTCTGTCAGGACGGGCGTCAGTCAGGGTGGGCGTCAGTCAGGGTGGGCGTCAGTCAGGGCGGGCGTCAGTCAGGGCGGGCGTCAGTCAGGGCGGGCGTCAGTCAGGGCGGGCGTCAGTCAGGGCGGGCGTCAGTCAGGGCGGGCGTCAGTCACGGCGAGCGTCAGATGCAGCAAGTGGAGTGAGGAGGTTTAGGGAGCGTTTGTGTCGGCAGTGAAGGACAACTTCACCAAGGAAAATGATGATGGCGAAGCCGTATCCAAGCAGCATTAGGCAGAAGGCGCCTTGAAGGTGGTCAACGGTGAGGACCACCTGGTCATCTGCAGCATCCTGTAATACAAGAAGGTGGTCAACGGTGAGGTCTACCTGGTCATCTGCAGCATCCTGTAATACAAGTAGGTTGTCAACGGTGAGAACCACCTGGTGTTGCTGCCACATGCTTGTGCAATGTCTCTATGCACTAGTGGAGCGGAGTCTTTGCCTGCTCTCTCTCTATGGTGTGGGTGCCGGAAGCCACTGAGCCACCGGGGACAAGAAGTTTTCGGAGGCGAGCGACACAGATTTATTATTATTAACATTTTTATTGACAAAATTAATTACAATTACGACACAGAGTCTAATGCAGGTGCGGCGACAAGACTATGACCTACGCCGGGCTGACTGACTTACATAATCTTTTCTGCTGTTAAATGAACAAATCCATAAAGGCCGTGACGAGGATTCGAACCTGCGTCCGGGAGCAGGTTCGTCCCCTCCCACAAGCATTGTAAATGTGTGGCCACGTCTGTGGTAGAAAATAATAATAATAAAAAAAACCACCCAGGTCGAATTACTGACCCGCCCAAAATACAACCCCACAACAGGGCATTAGCTGATAGGAAATGCACCCAACCATTTCTGTCCCGCTCGGGATTCGAACCTGGAATTCTCAACTGTGAGTCGAAAACGAACTCGACTGTACTACCGGAACCCTATATTCCTATACAATTAGTTGAATTGTAGTTGTAGGACCCTATATTCCTATACAATTAGTTGAATTGTAGTTGTAGGACCCTATATTCCTATACAATTAGTTGAATTATAGTTGTAGGACCCTATATTCCTATACAATTTGTTGAATATTGAAAGATCAATATTCCAAAAGTTTGAGTCTGCAGTCCTGAGTTCACCGACTTCCGCTAAGAACCTAAAACTTCCCCGAGATGAGAACCTCACCTGGTGGAGGACCTCACCTGGTGGAGGACCTCACCTGGTGGAGGACCTCACCTGGTGGAGGACCTCACCTGGTGGAGGACCTCACCTGGTGGAGAACCTCACCTGTTGCTGCTGACTCGCTACTGCATTAGCCTTGGCCTTGGTTGCTTCCAAGACCTCTTTTGTCCAGTGTTCCACCAGACCCGCCTCCAGCAGTCGTTGCTTCATTGTGGCGAAACGTTGGCGGTAAGGGGCCCCCCACCTGTTGAAACACCGTGAGTCACACACTATTGGCGGTGAGAGGGACCCCACCTGTCCCTCTCACCTGTTTGGGACCCCACCTGTCTATCAACAGGTGGGGTCCCAAACAGTAGTATATCAAAAAAAAACAAAGCTGGGAACATTAGTGAAATACCATCTATGGTATACAAGAGTGCTTCCCATGCCCTTGCACCACCCATAGCTCTGCTGTTCAACAAATCTCTAGTGTCATATCTTCCCTGATATCCTTAAAAAAGCACGAGTAACGCCAATTCATAAAGAAGGCAATCCGGCAGACATAAACAATTACAAACTAATATAAAAGCTTCCAATATTATAAAAAACATTTGAACAAATTATTTACACACAATTCTACTCCTACTTCGTAAAATTTAACATACAAAGTCCCTGTCAGTTTGGCTTCTGCTCCCAAAAGAGTACCAACGATGCAATTATTAGTCTGCTTGATATAATCTACTCAGCACTTGACAAAAATGAGTTTACGATTGGACTCTTCATTGACCTGAGAAAAGCCTTTCATACTGTTAACCATAACTACCTCTTACTTAGACTCCACCATTATGGAATCCGAGGACATGCCTTGAACTATATTCGATCCTATCTTAGTGACAGACACCAATATGTGGCCATCATTGATATAACCTCCACCACTCTATCATTAACCGTAGGGGTGCCACAGGGCAGCATCCTAGGACCTCTCCTATTTCTTCTATACATCAATGATCTGCCTAATGTCTCTAACATTCTTAAACCTATATTATTTGCCGACGATACTACTCTCGTCTACTCAGACCCAACCCACACACAATAAATAATGTTGTAAATAACGAATTAAGAAAAGTCCACTTATATATATATATATATATATATATATATATATATATATATATATATATATATATATATATATATATATATATATATATTAAAGGGTCGAACCTGAAGCCCCAGCTGTAGCCGAGCAGGTAGGTGTACTCGCTGGAGCTATAGTGGAAAGGGTGTTGGCCATAGTGGTCTGTGTAGAACTCTGCTATCACCGGCTTTATTATGTTCTTCCAGGTGATGAATGAAAAGTGGCCCTTCAGCACTCGCTCCAGGCCATCCTTCAGTGACAGTGTCTGCAGGAGGGAAGACTTGGGGTGGGGGTGGAGTGACTTGGGGTGGGGGGTGGAGTGACTTGGGTGGGGGGGTGAAGTGACTTGGGGTGGGGGTGGAGAGACTTGGGGTGGGGGGTGGAGTGACTTGGGGTGGGGGGGTGGAGTGACTTGGGGTGGGGGTGGAGAGACAATGGGGAGTGGAGACACTTGGGGGGGGGGGAGATGTGGAGGTACTTAAAATTGGGGATGGAGATACTGAGCAAATTTTCCATTACTTGTTTAACATTTAAAGTAGTGTTTTATAGATAAATAATATATATATATATATATATATATATATATATATATATATATATATATATATATATATATATATATATATATATATATATATATATATATATATATATATATGCATAAATATATACGCACAGATACTCTAAGTGCGGTTAGGGGGCAGTTAGTTTTTTTTTTTAGTTTAGTTCATTTATTATGCACCCCATACCCATCTTGTGGGCGGTAGTGGAAGGGGTTACAGAGGCACATAATGGGCTCAAGGGCATATTACGGAAAAATGCGATAAATGAAAAATGATTCGATTTCAATCAAACTTTTTTGACTAGTTGTATATAAAATTAGGTTCAACTGGCCCAACTCTCAGCATTGTAGCATAAATAGGAAGGGAGAAAGAAAATATTGAATCATGTGTAAAAAAAATTCCAAAATGGTCAAAAATTAACATCAAACAAAAGTATCAACTGAAGCATGTCTATGACTCTAAGCTATCACAATAGCATATAATAAAGTATTTTAATATTCAGTTTTATGAAAAAAAATCAAATAAGAAAAAATAGATTTTTTCTCAATTTTTTTTCATATTTTTTATCAGCCGATTTGCATGAAACTTATACACCTTACAGAACGTATGCCTATCCGTAAAGATGCAAATTTTGGAGGAAATTGGTTGAAGTCAACTTCAACTACAGGTGGCAGTGTGTGATCTTATTTATTTTCAAGTAACATAAAATTGCATCTCCTCTTTAATTTTTTTTCAATTTACATGAAATTTACACCTTATATGTAGAGTTGACGTCTCTACAATAATGCTAAAACACTTTATTCCTAAGTTCATTTATTGATTTTATAAATCTTTGCAAATCCTTTATTATATGCTAATATGGTATATATGAATGTCATAGAAATGATGTTATTTGAAACTTGTGGTTGTAGTTAATTATTGAAAATGTGTAAAATTCGTTGGAAAAAAATATATATCTCCCTTTCTATATAGGGTGCGATACTGAAACGTAGAACAGTTGCAGCCCTTCTTATATACATCTGGTAAAAAAAGTTTGATTGACATTAAACAACATTTAAAAAAAAAACGAAATAAGGTAAACAAACGTAAGCGTGTGATATAGATAGGCTAGAGAGTAAGAGACTCACTTCCGTGTTATCATATATGAGACGCATTATTGGACCGTTGTTGGCGAAGAAGTCATGGTAGGAGCTGTTGAGCATGTCGGAGAAGGTCCCCCACGACCACCGGTGCTGCCTCAACAGGTCGTCGAAGGTGTCGATGGGTATAGCGTGTTCCTGCACGGTGAGTGTTGACGCCAGAGCTGATCTGTAGGCTGAGTTGATCACCAGAGTCGCCACCAGCCACCACCCTACCAACACCTGCCACCAACACCACCACCACGGTCACCACCAGTACTGGTCACCTCTAGGGTCACTACAAGGGTCACCACCAGTACTACAGACCACTGGAACATTGTCTAACACAGTGCACAGTTACAAACCCATTAACATTTCAACTTAGATTCAACAGAGTAGAAGAAGTTGTACAAACAAAGACAAATACAAATATTTATTCAGGTAAAGTACATACATACAAGGTGAGATACAAAAGTTGATGGATTTATAGATAAAGCTAGAAAAAAATGAAAAAAGGGTGGGGGGGAACATGGCAGAAAAAAAGCAAAAATACAATTAGGTCAACAAACAACATTGTTTAAAATCGTAGACATTTAGGGGTGAGGTAGGTTACATTGAGTTAATTAGGTAGTACTAGTACTTAGTTTTTATCTTAAACTGGTTAGGAGAGGTACAGTTTTTAACATAATTGGGAAGGTCATTCCACATTCGAGGTCCCTTGATTTGTAAAGCGTTTCTAGTTTGACTAAGTCGTACTCTTGGAATATCAAATAGGTATTTGTTTCTGGTGTGGTGCTCATGGGATCTGTTACAACCTTCTAGGAAGCTTTTAAGGTCAGGATTGACATTACAGTTCAGTGTTTTATATATATAAAATACACATGAAAGGATGTCCAGCGACTTAATATCTAACATATTCAGAGATTTGAGTAAGGGTACGAGTGATGTCTGGGGCCAGAGTTAGATATTGTCCTAATAGCAGCTTTGTGTTGAGTAATTAGAGGACGTAAATGATTTTGCACAAATTCCATAGTTGAGATAAGGATAGATGAGAGAGTAATAGCGTGTCACCAGGGCAGGGCGAGGTACATAATATCTGATCTTAGAAAGAATGCCAACAGTTTTTTAAACTTTTTTTGATATATTTAGAATGTGTCCCTGGAAATTCAGCTTGCGGTCAATGAGAACGCCAAGGAATTTGCCATCTACTTTGTTACAAATTTGGGTATTGTAAATCTTGAGATTTAATTGATTTGAGGATTTATTGCCAAACAAAATATGTCAGTATTGAGGGTGAGTTTGTTGGTAGTTAGCCAGTGATGAACTTTATTTAGCTCAGTATTCACTGTGATATTTAGAGCAAGGGGGTCAGGACTGGAGTAAATGAAGGTCGTGTCGTCAGCAAATAGAATTGGTTTGAGATGTTGGGAGGCATTTGGAAGGTCATTAATGTAGATGAGCAAGAGGAGAGGTTAAACACATATGGCAAAATCTTACTGAAGCGACAATACGAGTCATAAATACTCCTGCTCCGCCCAAGTAAAAGAGAAACAAGCAACACTTAGTGGGCCAGCCAGAGGCTTAGGGCCCGCGCAGAAAAATCCATGCAAAAAAAAAGTACTGGTCACCTCTAGGGTCACCACAAGGGTCACCTCTAGGCTCACCACAAGGGTCACCTCTAGGCTCACCACAAGGGTCACCTCTAGGCTCACCACAAGGGTCACCTCTAGGCTCACCACAAGGGTCACCACCAGTACTGGTCACCTCTAGGCTCACTACAAGGGTCACCACCAGTACTGGTCACCTCTAGGCTCACCACAAGGGTCACCACCAGTACTGGTCACCAGGACGACCAACAAAATCTGTCGCCTTCCACCATAATGTTAGAATTATCAGACACCTTCTCTTATAATGCCAATTATTACAGCAGTAGTAGAACAATATGAAGTAAATCGTCGGGTTTAAGGTAATATTGTGAGCGTGTGCTGCGCAAGGTCAGGTTAGATGTAATAGTGCCACAGTGTTACAAAGATATATATGGTAGTCTCACCCGAAACACCATGCCCGTGGGAATGTTGTCTTTAGGGTTTTCCATGACGATGGCCCAACTGATGTAGAGAGCAGAGCCGAGGGTGAAGCCTCGTCCTCCCACTACCCACGTCCAGGTCCTCTGCATTACCCACAGCGCCGCCGCCCACACCACAATGCTCACCCCGACCGCCTGCCACACCACTCCTGCAACACAACCATTAACGCGAACATACTTGTGTTTATGTGTAAACATATACAGTTACTCATAGTTTATTGGTGTAAAATTGTCTTTATATAAACTAGAATTAATATTGTAATGAAAATAATGAGTTGTCAGTGAATAATCTCTCGTGTTTTTGTAACATTGTGTTTTATTTGTTTATTACTAGAGAATAAGTAATTATTCTCGTTGTTGAGAATAATTACTTATTATTCGTAAATATAGTTCGTTGTTAACTTCAACAATGTTCTGGCAGTTCCTGCGACGGCGCTGGAACGAAGCGTATTGGCGTTTGCCTTTCTATTCGACAATTTTAGCATCATGGAGAAGGCGGACCTGCTGCATGGGTAATAGCTTCTCCTCCATATAAACCTACTCAGGCTTTGCGCCGTGGAGAGGACACTCCAGCCTCGACAACCCGAGCTTAACTATATAGTCTTCCGAGACTGCAGGATGCCTATTACTACTACTACTAGAGAATTGTGTAGAGTGGGTGTACAGAACGTTCTGTTATATTTTACGAGGGGAACAAGTGTCTAGCCATCCTTCCAGTGTCCTGTGTGTGTGGGGTGGTGTTCCCAGCTGACTTGTTTGTTACAGTTGAGGGTCACACAGGCATGAGGCTCCCTAGTGCATACATCCGTGCACAGAACCTAGAATTGTAAATCAGGCGAAGAGCCTTAGGGTATTGGATAGGGGGCGCGGGAAACCTCGATACAGGCCTAAGAACAGCTGGCTTCCTGTCCATGACAAAGGAAATTATTTGTTTGTCAAAAATTATTATTATTTCAGTCTTTCCATTTATTGCTGACTTTTCTTAAAGTTCAAGAGTGTCATTCCATTTATTAAAGGAAAATTCAATTTTCAATCCGTAGTTAAATAATGAGGCGCCCTTCCCCCCGCACCGTCAGGGTCCCTGGTAATGTAGTGTGTGGTTTAAGTAACAAGTGTGTAAGTGTGTGCGTTGATAACTCTGTAGCCTGCTTCAGTGTAGAGTGCGCCTTAAGAGGTGAGGCTGCAGGAGGCACCTGGGAAGGGTTTGATGATGGAGAGGTAGCGAGGCAGCGGCTGAGGCTTGAGGGAGATGATGATGACCAGGTCCCCAGTGTACAGTCTGGAGTACTGGATGGCGCTACTTCTGTTGTAGGTGGGCATGAGCATGAGGGACTGGTCGGCCAGGTGGCGCTGCAGCTGGCCCACCACCCCTGACCATCTGCCCTCCTTATCCGGAACACCCCACTGATTGTCAGGCGACGATCTCAACTCATACCTGTGAGGCACCAACTGTTGAATAAGTGTGACACTCACACCACAGTCTCCCACAAGTGTGACACTCACCACAGTCTCCCACAAGTGTGACACTCACGCCACTGTCTCCCACAAGTGTGACACTCACGCCAGTCTCCCACAAGTGTGACACTCACGCCAGTCTCCCACAAGTGTGACACTCACGCCACAGTCTCCCACAAGTGTGACACTCACCACAGTCTCCCACAAGTGTGACACTCACGCCACAGTCTCCCACAAGGGTGACACTCACACAAGTGTGACACTCACACAAGTGTGACACTCACACAAGTGTGACACTCACACAAGTGTGACACTCACACAAGTGTGACACTCACGCCACAGTCTCCCACAAGTGTGACACTCACCACAGTCTCCCACAAGTGTGACACTCACGCCACAGTCTCCCACAAGTGTGACACTCACGCCACAGTCTCCCACAAGTGTGACACTCACTCCACAGTCTCCCACAAGTGTGACACCACACGACAGGCGCCTACATAAAGCCAGGTGCACGACAGGCCCCTACATAAAGCCAGGTGCACGACAGGCCCCTACATAAAGCCAGGTGCACGACAGGCCCCTACATAAAGCCAGGTGCACGACAGCACAACGCACGTAAAGTTTCTGGGAGCGGCCAGAGCGTCGAGGAGGCGGATGTCAAGACAGTCAGTGGGAGTGACTGTGGTGTTGGCTGGGTCGCTGGAGCGCAGGAACCCCGTGAAGGGGTAGTAACTCTTCACCACCAGACGCAGCCGGTGGCCACGCATGTCTTCCAGCTGGTCTGTTGGTACACACAAGGTCCCTTCTTAATCTACCAGACCTTCCCGCGTCTAAATATTCCATTACCTAATGTGAACAATAGATTGACTAGGGATGTGTGATCAATATAATTGATAATGAGAACTATGGGTGACCTGGTAGTTAATCACTAACCATGGAAGAGTGGATGGTGTGGCTGGAGGCCGGAGGAGAGGTTTGTCTGGAGGAGGAGTTTGAGGCCGGCGTCGCCCTGGTGGCAGTAGAGGCAACGCTCCCACACCCACACACCTGCTCGCCAACATGCACATACATACAAGCAACAATTGGTAATATGTTTCATGCATAACGGACACATACTAGTTTTACGTAATTTCATGAATGATAGTTTTGATGCTTTTTCATATTTTTATTAACTGGTATGTTCAGAGAACTGTTTTGCTACTCTAGCCTATATGAGGGATTAGAGTATAGGTTAAGAGTTAGCAGGATGGGTCGAGTCTACTAGCCTGCACTAGCAAACCTTGGATAGATTATGGTTATCTTATAATATTGATCAGGGAATTCAGTTAAGTAACATAGTTGCTGGTACCTCGTGTCACTTAAGAGGCTTTAGTCCTTCTTGGAACATAAAATGTATTTCACTTACAATTTCACTGTTAATACGTACGACTAAATATTTTTAATGCCTATCGTTTTCAATGTACCGATTATTGACTTCAAACACCCAAATTATTGTTTTGTCTTTGTCAACAATAAGGCCACATTCAACACTTCTATTTGCAAGTATGTTTAGGTTAACTTGTAAACAGTTTGCAATAAAGTATTACTCATATGTGTAGCAAATTACAGCTGTATCAGCTTGAACAGGTATGTTCTTTATTGATCTACGCCTTAACATATTTATAAGCGTAAGGCTGAGCACTCTAGGAGGTTTGCCGTATTTAAAAGACACATAAAAACTACTTATTACTGCCTTGTGATAACCGGAACAGTTTTGTTACTTAAGTACTCTCTAAGACTAGTTGTTCCACTATGACTTCTCTATTAGTTGTGTCAAGAGTATGTTAGAGATAAACAAACACAAGAGTCCTTTGTCTCCGCCTGATAAATTACTCAACAGTCATTTTGTGTCCTTCCAGGAAGAAAGCCATGCAGCTGACATTTGATTTGCACTATTAGCCTACTGATAACAATCCTCCCAGGAAGTTTACATGTGCAAATATGAAATATATAAGCCTATACCTGTGAGTTTAGATCAGGTACAGGTATTATGAGGTTCTGCGTCAAGCTGTCTGTTAACACATACGGTCTTAGACTGTTCAGATCTAGCAGAGGGTTGTAAGATATGTCGACGAGCAACTTCAGAGTACTGTTTGTTATGCCAACGTCTGAGAGCTTACTCTGTGACGGGACGTACGTCCCTTTATGTTGGTCTGCCTGTGTGTCCATCTTAACTCTTGCGAGGCCTTGAGTAAATATGGTGGTGGGGCCCCAGTATGTCTGGCGGAGAGTGAGGTCGCAGAGGGCGACGTAGAGTGCTTGGCGGGTATTACGGAAGCTGGGATGGAGGAGCACCGCCCGCACCTCCGCCCTCCCGCCCACCACCACCACCCACACCTCCGGATGTTTCCACAATCCACTCCGCTCCAAGAACCTGCAGAGAGCATTACTTAATTTAGTAGCACTTAACGGTAATAATTCTCTATACCTAATCACGTGTCGCTCATATACACCAAAACAAAAAGACTGTAAGACCATTAAAAGATCGGACCAACCAAGTTATATAAGACGATAAAGGGGCAGCCAACACTGAATACTTTACATAAGTGTTCACACTAGAGAGATATGACAACATCCCAATACCCACACAAATGTTCGAGATGGGTGAAGAGAACGAACTAAGGGATATTCCCATAACACCATATAATCAGGAAAAACATTCCACAGCCCCAGGTGTGGACGGAATTCAATCCAAAGTCGTAAAGTAACTAACTGGCAGATGTATCTACCACTGAAACTCATTTTCAGAAAGTCTCTAGACCAAGGGATAATCCCCCTAGATTGGAAATGAGCAAATGTCACCCCTATTTTCGAAAAAGGCAGGTACTGAGCAGAGAACTACCGCCTGATGAACCATGCATATCTGCAAGGGGAGGATGGTCTTAGTGGCCGACGTAACTCTTGCTCGCAATATGTATAATCACAATTAAATAATAATAAATATTTTTCTTTCATGTATATTTGAGAAACCGTTTGCCAGCGCTTGTTATGAGGAGAGTGGAGGAGGGAGGTGGGAAGGTTAGAACACTCCCACCAGTTTGTTAACATAGCTACAAAATCACTTATGCAGCTATGTGAAGTGTTAAAGACCGTGTCACGAGCAAGCTATGTGATACTAAACTCCCCATCTCGCAGAATGGTTAGTCATCGCCACCAATGGTTCAAGTCCAAAAGGAAAACCGGCAGCTCCAACCTACCAGTAGACAAATGATACATAATTTCCATCCGTAATTGAGTTTGTGAAAATATTGTATTGTCTCACAAATATGTGTTTAGTTGTATTGGTTTGCTGATTTAACCTCAGAAAGGCATTAAAAACATTATATATAGATTTGCTTAAAAACTCTTATCTGGACAGGTGAGTGGGGCACCAAGGCTGAATGTTTACCGTTGGGGGTTCATCTCCCCTGCTGCCAGTGGGGACACTACAACAACTTGTAAAGTATTACCCTTTTCTGGCTTGCTTCACCCCCCTCTGCTACTGAAGAATATTTGTCGCCTCGGAAGTATTATCCCCTTACTTTTTTAAATAAAAGTTGATAAATTACCAGAGAAGTAATCTACTGCTGCTGCTGTTGGTGGTGTCAGTGGCAGTGTTGGTGGTGTCAGTGGCAGTGTTGGTGGTGTTAGTGGCAGTGTTGGTGGTGTCAGTGGCAGTGTTGGTGGTGTCAGTGGCAGTGTTGGTGGTGTTAGTGGCAGTGTTGGTGGTGTCAGTGGCAGTGTTGGTGGTGTTAGTGGCAGTGTTGGTGGTGTCAGTAACAGTGTTGATGGTGTCAGTGGCAGTGTTGGTGGTGTCAGTGGCAGTGTTGGTGGTGTCAAGGAAGGCGAGGACGCCGCGGCAGGGAAGAATAGGTTCTCCCCAGAGGTGGTCGAGGAGCACGTCAGTATAGGAGAGGTCCAGCAAGGTGGTGAGCGACGCCACCACCACCACGCCCACCGCCCCTCCTGATACACGCCTGCAACCATTGCATCATCACTAGTAGACAACCACATTATTGCACGCCTCACATCATCCTCCTCTATATAACAACATTATAGCATTATAAACAACATGACAAAATTGTGTGTGGTCAACTTTCATTCAAATATGGCTCAACATTCTGACCCTATCTCAAGTCAGTGGTTCTCAAGGGTGCGGTGGGCCACACTGGTGCCTAGAGCTTGTGGTCATGGAAGAACACGTGTTGGGTTCCTTGCCTGATCATGTTTGGTAGTTGTGGGTTGTGGCTGGTAGCGTCGACCAGCAGCACTTGACAGTGGGTCCCACGCTGCTGCTCCAGCACCTGACTCAGAAGCTGGCTCACTTGCTCCAAGCTGTCATCAGCAGCTTCATACACAAGCACCTGTGCGGAGGCTGGTGTGGCTGCCAGTGTGGCCAGCCACACCACAAGGGCGCCTGCTGCCTCTGCTCTCATGGTCACCTCACACTGCTTTACTGCTCACTTTTACCCCACACGGCGGGTGGCCTGCAATACTTGTGGTTTATTAACAAGTTTATATACACATAACAGTGTGCTGCAACCATATTTTATATGCAGGACTACAGAGTATAAATTAACAGAAAGCTATGAGTTTATCTAATATCCCCATCTCATTTTCAGAAGGACACAGCTGCTCTGGAGAAAGTGCAACACCGGGCAATAAAAGTCATTCCAAAGCTAAATCATCTCCCGTATCAGGAACGCTTGAAGGCCATTGGGCTAACAACACTGCAAACCAGGCATGACAGTACGGATATCATTGACACTTAAAATACTGAACAAGATCAACAGGATGTTGATCCTGATATTTTCTTCATAAGGTCCGATGTAACAAACAAGGAGAACGGTTTGAAGCTCAACAAGGCACAGTGTAGGACTGAGAACAGGAGATGCCTTTTCACCCACAAGGTTATAAACCCATGGAACCGCCTACCCGACGAAGCCGTAAATGCCAAAACTGTGTTAAGTTTTAAAATATACCTAGAAAAGATCAAAGTAAATGGGGGGGGGGGACCTTCGACAACCCACCGGCTTCCTGTCCTCACCGAGGCACTAGGGTTGGCGGCCCTCAGGTAAAAACTAAATATTTCGTACCCGTAGAAGCCGTATAGTAATATATCTCTCTCGTCCAACCAATGGTGGCCAACAAATTAAAATCTAAATAAGGCAATTTTTTCTAATAAGATTCAACTTAAAATAATATTAAACATTAGCTTAAGAGCTATTTTGTTAATTTATAACTATCATAAGTACGGCACATTATTGTGTAAACCATATGGTCATTTTAAGACGTTACTGGTCTGTACCGGTCTCACAACACATAATGCAACACATAACTCATGAATGTAAACTCTCTAAAATATCCTATTTATATTTTGAATAAATAAACATCGTTATCGTATAATTGAGCAGGAGTTTATCTGGAAAAACGGTTTTTATTTTTTTTAAATTCTCCAATTATATAATTTTATTGTGTTAACCTTGAGAAGTGGAGTCGTTTGTCAACATTATGAAGGTAGAGTTCCGTCATCTATAATGACAGCACTCACTGCCACTCCTCACAACACCACTGATTTTATGTTGCCAATTGTAACTCCATAGTTATGTAGCAAGTGTTTTCTGTACGATGTAGTAATGTATTTGTTAAGATTGATTGGTAACTTTGGGGGAAATATGTTTAGAGCAGCCAGAGGCCTCGGGTTTAATTCGCCTAGTTGTGCTTGCCGGGGTTGAGCTTCGGCTCTTTGGTCCCGCCTCTCAACTCAAGTTCAACTACGTTTATTGAGACAATAAAATACATCTAAAAGAAAAAGAGTAGCTTAGGCTTTTTGTACTCTCCTCTACTACAAGTCGCTCAAGGGACGCACAAATCCAGTGAGTACAAATCCACAAATCACAGACGAGAATCACATTTAACGTTGCAGATTAATATAGTAAACACAGCATACATGTGTTACACTCTTGGGGCCCGCCTCTCAACTGTCAATCAACCGGTGTACAGATTTCTGAGCCTGTTAGGCTATGTCATATCTACATTTGAAACTGTGTGTTGAGTCCGCCTCCACCACATCACAGCCTAATGCATTCCATACGTTAACTATCCAAATATTGAAACAATTCTTTCTAATGTCTCTGGCTCATTTGGGTACTCAGTTTCCACCTGTGTGCCCTTGTTCATGTTCCACCCATGCTAAATAGTTTGTCTTGACCACCTTATCAATTGCTCTGAGAATTTTGTAGGTGGTGATAATGTGTCCCCTTATTCTTCTGTCTTTCAAGGACGTGAGGTTTAGCTTCCGTAGCCTTTCCTTGTAACTCATACTTCTCAGTTCTGAGGCTAGTCTGGTGGCATACCTCTGAATCTTACCTTACTTTATTCTACCTAACCTATCCCATACCCTAACTTTATCTTGTGTTTAATTAGGTATGGACTTTAGGCTGGAGCTGCATACTTCAGGATTGGTCTGATATAAGTTGTATACAAGGTTCTGAATGATTCCTACCACAAGTTTCTAAAGGTAGTTGGCCAATCTACCATATGCCGCTGATGATATCCTTTTCTTGTGGGCTTCTGGGAACAGGTTTGGTGTGATATCACCCCCTCCCCCCAGATCTTTCTCTATTTGACTCTTGCATTATTTCACCTCCCAGATGGTACCTTGTGTTCGGCTTCCTGCTACCTTCCCCGAATTTCATTACTGTACACTTTCATGAGTTAAACTTTAGGGACCATTTTCTAGACCATTCCTCCAGTTTGTCCAGGTCGTCCTGTAGTCTCTGTCTATCTTCATCTGTCTCGATTCTTCTCATAATTTTTGTATCATCAGCAAACATATACCCAGAGCCTATATCCTCTGGGTATTTGTGATGCTGTTGGGCAGTTGTCAAGGTTGCTACAGCTGTAACCTCAGATCTTTGTTTTTGCAATTGTTACAGCAATTCTCAGCTGTATATAACAGGTGACATTCTGTGTGGTCGTCCTACCTGCAGTGTGACTGGCTGTGTGGTCGTCCTACCTACAGTGTGACTGGCTGTGTGGTCGTCCTACCTGCAGTGTGATTGGCTGTGTGGTCGTCCTACCTACAGTGTGACTGGCTATGTGGTCGTCCTACCTGCAGTGTGACTGTCTGTGTGGTCGTCCTACCTACAGTGTAACTAGCTGTGTGGTCGTCCTACCTGCAGTGTGAATGGCTGTGTGGTCGCTCTACCTGCAGTATGACTGGCTGTGTGGTCGTCCTACCTACAGTGTAACTAGCTGTGTGGTCGTCCTACCTGCAGTGTGAATGGCTGTGTGGTCGATCTACCTGCAGTATGACTGGCTGTGTGGTCGTCCTACCTGCAGTGTGACTGGCTGTGTGGTCGTCCTACCAGCAGTGTGACTGGCTGTGTGGTCGTCCTACCTGCAGTGTGACTAGCTGTGTAGTCGTCCTACCTGCAGTGTGGTCGTCCTACTTGCAGTGTGGTCGTCCTACTTGCTGTATGGTCGTTCTACCTGCAGTGTGGTCGTCCCACCTGCAGTGTGACTGGCTGCCGACTTCCTGAGTGAGCACTGTGTTCTGCAGGAGTGAGGATGGAGGCGTGCGTCCTTGACCATAGTCGGGGTAGGACTGGCTGGTTCATGCAGCTACTCCTGGCCTAGCGCCCAGGATCCAGGACCCAGCACCCAGCACCCAAGGCAGGTAATCTCACCTGGTATATTTTTCATGCACCATTGGTAAAGGGCACAATGACGGCAGGGGTGTAATAACGCTCCATTACCCA